CAAGTCAACTCCCTAATTTGTGAAATTGCTTAATTGGGAAATTTTGTCTTGCAGCATCATCGAAAAAGGAGAAGAACACTGTGGTGCTCTTATTGAGGCCCACAAGGAGTGCATGAGAGCCTTGGGTTTTAAGATATGAACAAGATGGAGCACACATCTGAATGTTTGGAAGGTAAATGGATGTCCTCTTGCAATGGTGCCGTTTTTCAGGGGAAATGCATGCTGGTAGCTGTCAAGGTGAGGGACGCGGGTGGCGCTGTGGGTTAAACCACAGAGCCTCTTGGGCTTGCCGATCAGAAGGTCAATGAATATGAATGTAATAATAAAACAAACAAGGGGTCATTACCATGATAATACCTTTTAACATAGTAAACATGCCCCTGCAGATTTAGGCTTGTAAAGAATTTAAAACAGGAAGTTTGGAGTAAATAAACTTCCTTTTATAGTGTATTGTTTGAACATCAAAACATGATGAGAGAGCCTTTCATAAGTACTCTGAATATACTTTACCAAACACCTTAAAAATCGTTGGGCAAAAATGTCAATGTGTCTACTTTGTATGCCTGACAAAAGCAAGCATTGGGTGACTGATGCTTTTAGATTTGTAACAAGCCAGGAGGTAGATTTTGTTAAATGTAAGAGAAATTTAGCACTGGAACAATTTGCAGACTCTCCTTCCTTGGACAGGCTTCTGCTAGGGATTCTTTGGGTACAAACATTCCGTCGAAAGTTTGAAGTATATGGTCCATTGTGTTAACCTTCCAAGTCCAGTAAGTCTTCAAAGTCACTGTGGTTAAGTAAAACCGCCAGTTCTGTGGTGGCAGATAGTGGTGATGATGGTAGACATAAAATAACTACAAATAAGGCATAAATTAATCCTTGGTATGTTTTACTTGCAGGCATTGCTTTCATTAACTTCCCAACATAAGTTTTAGAGGAACACCATTGCTAATAGATGAGATATATAGCTAAAACTGCTTCTTATTGGACCTTTTCTCCCTTCTCCCTCTAGGTGATTTGCTGTTGAAATATTAGTTTGGGGACTTTACTCTTCATGGCTGCTTGAACACGGGTGTTTATTTATCAGAAGATGAATTTATTGGGGGAAAAATACGATGGATTCTAAAATCAGAGGCGTGTGTTGAGTTACAGTCTTCTTCCATGGCTGGATCCTGCCTAAGTGATGATATGAGAGATTCTCCTGAATAAACGTTTGAGCACAAGAAAACTGGCTCCTGTATGATGCAGTTGTATCTGGGAAACTATGTCACCACCCTCCCATGTATGCAGTGGAATTAAATATGCTCAATCAATAAAAACAAAGTGGGCTGAATTCAGAGATGCTGTTGGGTTGGGCAAGGATGTGTGCACGTACTCAAGTTTCCATTGCAATCTGCCAAGCTCCTTTTTCAGCAGAGGTCAAAATCAATTTGTAGATTTGGCTGTGTGTAGGCTGCATGGCTACCCAGCTGGGTAGATGGACATAATAATACTTTTGTGTGTGAAAAATATAATTCATGGGTTCCAGCATTGCGTAACTTACCTCTCTGGAGAAGGGGCTGCTGTAGTAAATCCATAGCGAAGCTGCACAAATGTCAACTGCGTAGTTGGGTGGTGAAGCTGGCTTGGTTGGTTTGTTTTATTTGTTAGATTTGTATTTAATCTTTCTGTCAGGGCTTTCAGGGTAAGATGCAAAGCTTTCCAAGTGACCTTATATTGAAGTGCAGGACAGGTCCTGGCCTGTGTCAAGTTTGTGGATGGAATTATTTTGTTAATAAATAAATAAAATGAAAGCTGCCTCTGACACCTTCAGACTCTGATGCATGTAAAACAGAAAAAGACACTTGAAGACATTCCAGTTCTTGTAAATTTCAGGGAATTCTAGTCTGCTCAATATTACTGAATCAGAATTAGCTCAATGTAACCCTTGTTTTTCTCCTTACCTGAGAGCAGCTGCCTGATGGAGTTCCGTTTTCTGTGGAATCGCATCCACTGGCAGTGTGGCTTTAGCAAAATGTGCTCCTACAAGTTGAGGCGCCAGATTTTTATTGGTCTCTCCCCCCCTCCCCTTTGCAGTGTCCTTGTCATATCCTATTATAGCTAGAGGGTCCCTCAGGAACAGCTTGTGGGGTGGTGTCTGGGCGTTAAAAATCAGTAGGGGGGGTTCACTAAAAATCTGGTACCCAACTTGCAAGAGGAAAACTTAATTTTTGCTCAGACAAAAGCCACCATGGAGACAACCAGTGTTGTTTTTTACTAAAAAATGTTTAGGGGTACTCTCATTTTCACTCAAGAAAATCACCATTTTATAGTTCAAATTGGGAACAATAAATGCAGTAAATGGAAAAAGTACAAAGATTCACAAAATGTTTAGGGGTATTCATACCCCTGTGTGCCCCCAGAAAAAAAGCACTGGATACAACAATTGACTTCTGCATTCTGATACATTTTCTGTATTCTCCACTAGTATTTTTCCTTGAAGTCTGATAATAGATTAGAATTTCTAACTCTCACACAAAGGCCTTATGTATGGAAATCCTAAATTCTGAAATTAGAATAAATTATTAGGACAATCTTATATTTATTTTGGTGCTGGAGGAGTCTCTTGAGAGTCCTATAGACTGCAAGAAGATCAAATTCCTCCATTCTGAAGGAAATCAGCCCTGAGTGCTCACTGGAAGGACAGATCCTGAAGCTGAGGCTCCAAGACTTTGGCCACCTCATGAGAAGAGAAGACTCCCTGGAAAAGACCCTGATGTTGGGAAAGATGGAGGGCACAAGGAGAAGGGGACGACAGAGGACGAGATGGTAGGACAATGTTCTCGAAGCGACCAGCATGAGTTTGACCAAACTGCAGGAGGCAGTGGAAGACAGGAGTGCCTGGCGTGCTCTGGTCCAGGGGGTCACGAAGAGGCGGACACCACTAAATGACTAAACAAGAATATTTAATGGCTGAAGGCTTGGATAAGGACAAATGTTTGCCTGGAGTCTAAAGACATTTAATGATGGCGCCAGGCGAGCCTCGAGAGAGAGCCACCATAGAAAAGGCCTGTTCTCCTGTCACCCTCCAAATCTCTCAGGGAGGGGGACACAGAGAAGGGCCTCGGGTGACAAGTGCAGGGTCTGGGTCGGTTCATGTGGGAAGAGGTTTGTCCTTCAGGTCTTGAGTCATGGAAGGCTCCATTGGTCAGCACCAACACTTTGGATTGGGCCCTGCGTACCTGTTCCCAAGGAGGCCAGGCAAGATTAAACACACTTCAGATGTTCTGAGAATATTGAGATCTTTGCACCCAAAACTTACTTTGGATAACTTAAATCTGCAAGGACATGTTATCTTGCAGTGTGTGAGGTGTCTTTTGTCCCTCTTGATGAAAGGGTCAACCTGATATTTTGTATTTGGTGACACAAAATGATTAAGGTGTGCATCAACCATAATTTCTTTAGGACATTGTTTTGCATTTCAAACTCTTAAAACTCCAATCCTTGCATACTGCCACTTGTTTTCAAGGAAGCCAAGAAAAATGTGAAGTATACCACACTGTTATCTGCTCAGAGGTGTGAGATCAGTTTAACTCTGCGGGTTTTACAGGGTGATTTGAAGTCTGAATACCATCTTAATCCTGGGTTCCTTGTTGCCTGATAGTTCTTTCCACTTCACATAAAATCATAAATGAAAATGCCTTATTGTAGGACGGCCAGCTTCTGTTTTCTTGGGGATCACTCTATTTTGAAAGAAAGGGAAAAGACTATTATTTTAATCCATTTTTAATGGAATAATTTTCATCTCTTTCCGTTTCCCCCCTCCCTGCCCAATGCAGTATTCACACATAAACCTGCTCACATTCCTGCTCAGAAAAACTACCAGTATATTGATAATGTAAGATAAGGCTTGTCTGACATTGCTTTGTGACAGCAGCCCAGCTGTCTTCCTATCTCACAGAGAAAGACAGGGATACTTGTCCCCCTCAGACCCCCGGTACTCCAGAGCTTTCGAAACTTTTCACGTCGCTGATACACTTTTTAGACGTGCTTTAGTTCGTGACACAGTAATTCAGTTTTCCTAGCAAAAGGGAGGTTAAAACAACCTATTTCCAGCCCCGGGAGGAGCGCCGGGAGCATTTACGTGACACAGCTACACACTAAAGCCGACACATTAAAATGTCATGACACAAATTTTGAAAGCTCTGCTGTTCTCTCTTTCTCTGCAGTCAGACCCAGCACAGCGGTGGCTTTAAGATCAGTAGCATAATATTAAAAGTGGAAAGTCCACTCCACCGCATCTGTTGTGTCCTTCTAGTGGCTGAAAAATAGGAATCAAAGCATTCCAGCACTGGAAGGAAGCAGTTCTGGGGAACACCAAGCAAGAAATGAGACTGCAAAGGAGCTGTTCTTTTGATATATCACTGTTAAAGGTCAAGCAAACTTCCTTCGTTGACCACTCCAGTCTTCTGTCTGAATCATTTATAAAATTTGCAGCCTCGAAATATTGCAGCTTGTTTGACCAGACTCTGATCCGCAGCTTCTGTCTAATTTTTAAAATCCCAGCTGTCGCCACTTGCTTTGGATACTGTGGTCTACAGCCAACACCCCCCCTCCCTAAAACCCTACCTTATCTTGTTTTCTGCGGCTTGCAGTTCATGATAGAGGAAATTCCTCCCCCCGCCTTGTGATATGAGAGGGGATTTGTTCTGCCAAGCAAGCCCTGGGAACAGACTGAAAGCATCTACGCAGACAATACTCTGTGTAATCTAGTTCTCTGGTTATGTTAAGTGGCCATCGCCCGGCTGGCCTCTCTTCGCCTCTCGGCCTCTGCTTCTTGGATTTCAATTCCAAACATGGTTATCTATTTGGGGTCGCTCTTCTTTCTGTAGCCGGGTGCTATACATTCCAAATTAAACACAAGTACCCTCCGCTGCTCCCTTCCCCGCCCCTTCTGCCCTGGCTGCTGCTCTTTCCCCGAGTCTATTTTCATTTTCTCACACGGCCGGCGAGGGAGCAAGCCGCAGGCAACTCTTCCCAGCTCTTCTTCCAGGGACTTCTCAAACTGAAAGGCGTCGCTTCCTTCCAGATTGAATTTCTGGTGCTTCTGCAAGTTGGTGCAGCTGATTGGTATGAGACTGGACTCCTGCAAACCACATTTGGTCTTCCACTTTGTGGGAAGGGGTTCCTGGGGGTGTTTGGTGCAAACACATTAATAATTTTGAAAATGTTCTGGGGACCCACAGGCTGAGAAAGGCTGCTCTCAGACATAGCTACTGTTCAGCTCCAGTTCTAGGAACTGGTTTTACAAGTTCTCCAGTATAATTTTTCAAGACATATTGGTGCAGAGGTTAGGAGACAAGGAAAATGAGTACAAACAGCACCCTCTTGGATCGGATTGTTTTCTACCCAATTTTATGTGAGGGATGGAAGCAGAATATGGAAGGAGCGATCTATCACCTTGCTGGCTTCCTCCTCCTCTTGGGATTCATGGGAGGAAGTGGAATGGTTGGCTCCATCTTCATCTTTGGCGTCTTGACCGCTGGTTTCTTCTGCGCTGCGCTCTGGGGCTGGCTAGATGCTTGTGGACTGGACATCTTCATCTGGAACATGCTCTTAGTTCTGATCTGTCTCCTTCAGTTGGCTCACCTAGTTTACCAACTCCGTCAACACGCCTTCCCGGAAGAATTCGACATGCTCTACAAGCAACTGTGCCAGCCTCTGCAAGTGCCACCTCAGGTCTACAAAGAAATCGTCAAGTGTTGTGAGGAGCAGGTTTTGCCCCTGGCCAAAGACCAGAACTATGCTGTGGAGGGCAAGACGTCAATTGATCGTCTGTCATTCTTGTTGTCTGGCAGGTAGGCCGCACCTTCCCCTGACAATATTTTTTCTGGGCATTAGAAAACTGACCCAACTGGTGCTTTGGAAAAATAGATGGAGTGGCATGAAAAACAAACCAACCCATGCATTCTCCAAGTTCTCACATAGGTGGTAAAACCTGTGTCTTGGCTGTATCACTTTACTCTGCATTTGAGGACTCAACTCATGTGATGGAGTATCCCCTTCTTGGTCATTTTCTCCAAAAAGACCTTGTATGCCATTGAGAAGACTAGGTTAGAACTTCCTCTCTGGCATCTAGTTTTCTTAATGGAGGGCTCCTTTTGTGTGCATGTATGAAGAAGCATTCCATCCCATACCCTCCAACATTTATCCAATGAAAATAAGGACGTCCTATTACAAAATAATAATATTATTATTATTATTGATACCCTGCCCATCTGACTGGGTTGCCCCAGCCACTCTGGGCAGCTTCCAACATATATAAAAACACAATTAAAAAGTAAACATTAAAAAACTCCCCTATGCAGGCCTGCCTTCAGGTGTCTTCTACAGGTTGTATAGTTACTTATCTCCTTGGCTCGGGGGTCACATAACTCTATACTTTCCAACATTTTCTCGATGGAAATAGGGACGTTCTAAGGAAAACCGGGACCAAATCAGAAACTGGGATGTCTTCTGTAAATCCAGGACTGTCCCTGGAAAATAGGAACACTTGGAGGTTCTGAAGTCCCGGCTTGTATGCTGAAGTTGTGCAGCCCAGCTTTACCTTCTTACAGATTTAGGTTTTTTTTTTTTTTAACCTTCTAAACATGGCTATCCATGGGAAAAGGGGAAGGAGGGTGAGGACTTAAGGATCCACAATGCTTTTCTCTTGCAAATGGTCTCCTCCTGAGGATGCTTTGCAGGACTGTTGAGCTAAAGTTGCGCATGGCCCTGCAGTCATGTAATCTGGCCCTCGGCATTTAGGGAGAGAGGTGTACTGTAAAATTAAGGTCATGGCTCCTTGCAAGTGAATCCTTGTTTTCAGGTAAGGTTACCTGACAAAGCAGATAAAGCAGCTGGCAAACAACAAGGATGCTGCACCTTCTCAAAGGGTTAAAAAAAATACAAGCTTTAAATGTGGCAGCGGAAGTTTGGTTCAGGGTTTTTTGTATGGTGGGGAACAGTTGCCGTAATTGGGTTGTATCTATTCCATTCTTTTCTGCCATATGTTGGTTATGTCTGAAGTGTTCCACACTCAAGGGATCTGGAATTTTACATTAAAAAAGAAAAATATTTCTCCCGTGGGCCAGGTTTTACCTAGTTTGCTTGATTCGTTGGCTTCTTTTAGTTTATGCTGTGGCATCTGAATATAGACTGCATTTTTAATCAAGGCATATATTGGCTTATATTTTGATCAGGTTCCTAAAATTCTAAAAATAATGTTTCTTCCAAGGTAGAAAACCAGCAAGCGGCTCCAGCAAGCAGCTGGCAAGCAAAGGGCCCCCCGGTTTATTGCGGTCATAAAAAGGCTGAGAAGCAGGTCACTGACCTTGCATGCTGTAGAGTACCACTAAGTCGTAAAAGCTGGAATTACAGGCTGAAGACCAAGGTTACACAGACCCTACATAATTAGGGATGAGTAAACAGTAAAATAAAACCATGGGCCTCTCTTAAACTTGAGTCACAGGACAAAAGGTCAAGAGCACTTGGAAGAGAAAACAAGGCGACTGGCTGGAGAGGGGGGGGAAGTATGAACAGGGAAGAGGCTTCTTTTAAAACGATTTTTTACTGTGTTCCTTTTTACTGAGTTCTTTTTCTTCTTTAAAAAGGCTTTATTCTTTTAAAGAAGCTACCTGTGTTGTGTATTAAATATGCTGGCTTAAATGTAATTATGCAAAGGATCTAGAAAGAAAGAAATGTTAAATTCTTATTTCATAGAGTCATATTGCTGTAGGAGACCAGGGGGGCAGATGAGTCCAGCCCCCTGCCAGACAAGAAGACGCCATCCGAGCAATTTCTGATATATTAGCTGTCAGATATTTGTTTAGAAACCTTCAAATGAAGGAGATCTTTCAATATTGATGTGAAACTCAAGATTCTTGACATATGTTTAAGATAAAAATTTAAGATTAACCATTTGTTTTAGAAGGCAATAGGGCAAGAGGTGAGCTGGTAATTAAGATTCCATGTAAGATATATTATTACTTATTTGTCATTTATATATAGCTCTTTGTCTCCCTTATAAGGACAGGAGGATATGAGTGTATTTTTGTGATTGGTTATACCAATCAGCCAATAGGAATTTCAACCAGGCTGATGGGACAGAGGCAGCCACAGGAGGAGCAAAGGGGGCTGGATTAAGGGAATATAAGTGCTGGCCATAATGGCAGGAGGCCAGGCCAGAGCTTGGTAATCATATACCACTGTGCCTCTTATTTATTTGTCTGACAAATAAATTATTATTTAATTTCTCTGTTGCTGCGTTGAATATTTCATTCCAGCTAAGCGTTAACCACAAGCAGGGTGCTACATTTTATGGTGCCTGCGACTCGGATCAGTGGTCTGCTGGAACGCAGCTCCTTCGCCTACTGAGCGGGGTACAAGACAGAGGATCACTCACTGCCTACTCAGCGCGCAATGGAAAAAATTTTTCCAGGGGAACGCAGCAGTCTCGTCTGTCTGATACCCTGCCCACCGACGGCGACGGACCGGGGGGACCAGAGAAATAAACAGGGAACCAGCTAAGGGTAAGTGCACTAAGGGGTTTTGGCCCTCCAATTAATTGGGAGGAAGAGAAGTCCTGATCAAACTTCTGCGTCTCAGTAAAGGGGAACTGAGTACGCTAGGTGGCTGGGTACATCAGATGGTGATCTGGTGTAGGGAAAAGGGAAGAATGGGAGGTAGTGTGTGGTGAAGTATCTGGCGCATTGCATGTGTGAGAAAGTACAATGTGTAGCTGACCTAAGTGTGGAGTGAGTACTACTTCGTTTCCCAGTAAGGTGTGTGTGTGAGTGACTGAGTGGATACTTCACAGGGCCATACAATGGGAGTTGGGGGTTCAAAGGGGGGAAATACACCTCTTGAATGTATGTTAAATAATTTTAAGAAAGCCTTCTCAGGGGCATATGGAGTCAAAATGACGCCAGAACGCTTGAGAACGTTATGTGAACTAGAATGGCCAAAACAAAATACTGAATGGCCATCTCAAGGAACCTTTGATATAAATTTAGTAAGCAAACTTTGGTCTAACATCGCCAAAGAAACTGGAGGGTGCCCAGAACAATTTTCATATATAGATTCCTGGCTGAGCACATTAAATAAAAATCCTCCATGGATAAGGGAATGCAAAGTCCAACGATGCAAATTATTGGCTGTAAAAGCCGAAGCTAGGAAAGGAATCTTGCCAAATAAACTCAAACCCATTTTTGAGGGACCAGAGGAAGAGGTGCTTCCACCTCCACCCTATGCTCCACAATCGAAGGGAGCCTAATTCGAACCCTCCACCAGTTGTAACCCCAAGGCAAGAAAGTGGAATGAATAATGGGGCTGGAGTCACAGAACTTGATTCCTTGATAGATTATGATAAATATCTTCAGGAGGCATTGGAGTCCTATAATGAAGCCCAAGCAGAAGTGGTTATTCCACCTGTGAGTCCCAGTAGAACTCCATCTACAGTCTCTTTTAGTGGAACAACTGATTGCCTACCCCAAACCCCTGTACATCTATTATTACAGAAGTTACAGGGAGACCCTAATCGGTCAGCGAACAATACAGCCAGGCGTATAGAGCTGCTAAAAGAACGCCTTGGGACAGATACCATCCCCTATGATTTGAGGCCCCTAGAGCAAAGCGAAGAAAAAGGTCACGTAGTAGCCCCTCTTAGAAGAGTATTTGATGCACTTGAGGAGCCTGTGCTGGTTAATGAGCAGGCCAGAGTGGGAAATATTTTTAATATTGACCGTCATCTCCAGGAAAACTTTCCCTTGGAAGATCCTAATTGGGATCCAAACAATGCAATTCACCTGGCCAGGCTTACTACCTATCGCCAGATGCTTGTGCAAGGTATCTGCAGGGCATGCCAGAAGCCCACTAATATGTCTAAAGTTTCAGGAGGGTAGATGTGTTACCCATAACACTGTTTCGTGTTCGGTGTGCACCCACAAAAAGACTTAAGTTGTCACCTTTTGAGCTCCTGTATGGGAGGCCGCCCTCCTTTGTTCAGGATATTCCAACTGACCTCAAACAAATAGGAGACCATGCAACACAGGGACAAGTGCAATCTCTCTCCCGTGTTTTTGTCTCTCTCCCGTGTTTGTTTGTTGTTGTTGTTTTTATCTTAACAGGTGGGCCCTCGAGCACACGCCGTGCAGCATTGCCTGCCGATTCATCAGTTCCAGGCTGGCATAGCATATGGGTGAAAGAGTGGAAACGTGATCCACTTGTACCTAAGTGGCGTGGACCTTACACCGTCTTGCTCTTTACTCTAACAGCGGTGAAGGTAGCTGAGGTGACCCCCTGGATTCATCACTCCCGTTTGAAGAAGTCCGAAGGCAGTTGGACGTGCAAAGGTGACCCCTCTAATCCTTTAAAACTGACTCTCTCCAAAAACCCCTGTATCTAGCCCTACCGGGAACGGCTAGGTCACGGGCAACATTAGACGACCGGCCTGCTGCAGCCACAAACCTGGAAGCTGGCTGACCTGCGCACGCCTGAAGCTTGAGGAGCGTCTGAACTAGAGACTGTGAGCGGGAAGATTCTCTTATACAATTGATTGACTGCCCCCTTGTGGAACAATTATCAGAGATATTACACATTGGGGATTCTTGGGATATATGTTTTGGTCTTGGTGGTTCCCCATTTCTGTCACTGGGGGAATTATATTGGGACTAATAGTTTTATGCTATCACAATAAGGTAATCTTTTGTGGAAGGAATGCATATGCTAGACATCAACATGATTTTATTATTAATCCTGATCCCTTGGGAAGGGGAGGGTCCTTGAATCTGACCAAATTTGCTAAATATGGATTCAGCCATGACCACAATATGTGGGTAGGCTTAGCTGCGATGGTAGGCAATGTGGCAAATAGGACCAATTGCTGATTGCTCTCTTGGGCCAGATGATTTAGAGGGAGGTGTGCCCTTATTACCGATACCATTAGATGCCATTGGTATGGTAAGCGAAATGCCACACCAAACAGAAATACAGAATTTCCCCGGATGGAACTCAACTAAATCATTATGAGTTATACCTGTACAAGGGGAATTCTGTGTACATAAATCATCAGATGCAGCTGATTCTCCCATGGTAGGCTCTTCTCATTGCCACTATACTTGGGATTATATTAAGAATACCTGGGCACACGGTACTACCTATCGAACTCGGAATGCCTTGCCCTGTGCACCTCCTTTTATTCATGCATGGAAAGTGGTATGGAACATAACTGTGACAGAAAAAGGCAATCTAACATACTGCACTGTGAACTCTATACCCCTTTTGATATTTTGCCTTATGCACTCCACATACCAAAAACCTCAGACCCGATGGTTGTGGTGGATATGTGGAGAATGGGCATACAAGAAACTCCCTTCCAAATGGAGTGGGACTTGTTTCCTGGGATGGGTATTACCACCAATGTGGATTTGCCCACTAGTTCAGCCAAGCGAACACGAAGAAATGCTGATATTTCTCGTATAGCAGGAGGAAGTACCCAAAGTTGGAGCGGTACTGATGATTGGCCGCCAGAGCGCATAAAAGCCTATTATGATCCTGCCTCCTGGAATCCTGGTGAGCTCATACAAGGGGCACGGGATCCTATTTATAATCTAAACAGAATAATTCGATTACAAGCAGTAGTGGAACTTGTAACCAATGCAACGGCCCAGAGTTTGAGACTTATTGCACGACAGTTGGATGACTTGCCAAACAGGGAAGCCTATGTGGAGTCTTGAACTTGACAGGGAATGCCTGTTGCTTTAACATTTCTGATAATGGTGAGGCAATCCGTGTGTTGGCCACAAAGATGGAGAGTATAGCACATGTCAAAGGGATATTATTGTCTTGCTTGTTTTTCTTGACAGTAGTGATGGTTTTATGTATGGTGCCATGTATCATCTCATGTTTTAGGAGTACAATTAGCCAGATGATTTCAAATGAAACTCTACCTCATATCATGGCCCTATATAGAGCCTTACCTCAGGAATGTGGCATTGTAAGATCAAGCTATCAAGGACGCTTGGTAACCAGGTCCTTGAGCTTGAAAGGGGGGATTGTGGCATCTGAATATAGACTGCATTTTTAATCAAGGCATATATTGGCTTATATTTTGATCAGGTTCCTAAAATTCTAAAAATAATGTTTCTTCCAAGGTAGAAAACCAGCAAGCGGCTCCAGCAAGCAGCTGGCAAGCAAAGGGCCCCCCGGTTTATTGCGGTCATAAAAAGGCTGAGAAGCAGGTCACTGACCTTGCATGCTGTAGAGTACCACTAAGTCGTAAAAGCTGGAATTACAGGCTGAAGACCAAGGTTACACAGACCCTACATAATTAGGGATGAGTAAACAGTAAAATAAAACCATGGGCCTCTCTTAAACTTGAGTCACAGGACAAAAGGTCAAGAGCACTTGGAAGAGAAAACAAGGCGACTGGCTGGAGAGGGGGGGAAGTATGAACAGGGAAGAGGCTTCTTTTAAAACGATTTTTTACTGTGTTCCTTTTTACTGAGTTCTTTTTCTTCTTTAAAAAGGCTTTATTCTTTTAAAGAAGCTACCTGTGTTGTGTATTAAATATGCTGGCTTAAATGTAATTATGCAAAGGATCTAGAAAGAAAGAAATGTTAAATTCTTATTTCATAGAGTCATATTGCTGTAGGAGACCAGGGGGGCAGATGAGTCCAGCCCCCTGCCAGACAAGAAGACGCCATCCGAGCAATTTCTGATATATTAGCTGTCAGATATTTGTTTAGAAACCTTCAAATGAAGGAGATCTTTCAATATTGATGTGAAACTCAAGATTCTTGACATATGTTTAAGATAAAAATTTAAGATTAACCATTTGTTTTAGAAGGCAATAGGGCAAGAGGTGAGCTGGTAATTAAGATTCCATGTAAGATATATTATTACTTATTTGTCATTTATATATAGCTCTTTGTCTCCCTTATAAGGACAGGAGGATATGAGTGTATTTTTGTGATTGGTTATACTAATCAGCCAATAGGAATTTCAACCAGGCTGATGGGACAGAGGCAGCCCAAGGAGGAGCAAAGGGGGCTGGATTAAGGGAATATAAGTGCTGGCCATAATGGCAGGAGGCCAGGCCAGAGCTTGGTAATCATATACCACTGTGCCTCTTATTTATTTGTCTGACAAATAAATTATTATTTAATTTCTCTGTTGCTGCGTTGAATATTTCATTCCAGCTAAGCGTTAACCACAAGCAGGGTGCTACAATGCTGGGATGCAGAATTTGGAGACTGTTTTGCAGTTGTCACAACCTGGAGGAATTAGGGTTGGGGCACATAAAAGGTAAGGGAAAGGAGATGGCTGTACAATGGGTGGGAAGGGGATTTGCAATCTGTATTGGCCACTGAGCTATAGTTCCCTTCTCTTCCTGCTTGTGTGTTCCATCAAAAGCCCCCAACAACAGAAAAACAAAACAGAGACATGTTTCCTGGTATAGAGCCTGAAACTTGCTTAGATAATCAGAAATGAAGAGTCCATGGCCAGTTTTTGCACCAAAGACCATACTGTCCCATCAGGGGGGAAAGGCGGTGTATAAATATAGAATACAGTGGTACCTCGGGTTACAGATGCTTCAGGTTACAGACTCCGCTAACCCAGAAATAGTACCTTGGGTTAAGAACTTTGCTTCAGGATGAGAACAGAAATCGTGCTCCGGCGGCGCGGCGGCAGCAGTAGGAGGCCCCATTAGCTAAAGTGGTGCTTCAGGTTAAGAACAGTTTCAGGTTAAGAACGGACCTCTGGAACGAATTAAGTTCTTAACCCGAGGGACCACGGTAATATAGAATAATAATTGCCATTATCACACCATTCTCAATGCAGCCTTTAATCTTGTAAAATGTCATTTGCATAGATGATACTGTATTAAATAATGATGATGATGATAACGATGCAACTACCTAAGCGGAACTTGAGCTACTCTGCCTGTTTGCTGATGCAAATTATCCACAACTGGATCGCTGTCTATCCTGTGCTGTACACATGTGCTGCTTATAATAAGCATGTGTCCTGCCTTCTAAGGGTTGTTTTGTCTTTTTCTTTTTGGGTTTTATTCATAAATTTCGATTCCTATCTTTATCAAGTGATATTTTGCTGCGCAACTCATGTCGAAAAGCATTCGCTCTGTTTGGAGTGGGTCTTTTGAAGCTCTTTGCCATCTCTTTCTGTTTTGCAACCCTGAGAGACGTGTCGGGGGCCCCTCACCCCACCCCCCCACTCCGGAGCTATTTAAGACGTGGATGCTCTCTGGGAAGGCCTAAGAGAAACTCAGGCCTTGAACCAAACGCCTATCAGCTCCCGAAGTTGGCCTGATAATATTTTGTACCAGGACGTCCAAATTTCCATCGGAGAAATGTTGGAGGGTATGCATTTGTTAGGATGGGTTAATATTTTGTATTATAAACTGCCTTGATTGCCTTAATGCAAAGGTGGGATGTGAATGGAATAATACATATTTTTAAAAAAATGTTTGCACAACTGCATGAGGACCACTTACCTGCTCCCTCGTATACCTGCCAGAACATTTCCCCCGCGCCCCTACCATCAGATGCGAGGCCAGCGGCGCAAGAGTAATTTCTGTTGAGATCCACCTTGGGGTGGGGGCAGGTATTATCATGCGCTGTATAAACTTTGGGAAGAATTTTTTAAAAATGAATCTGCTTTAAAATATGTCTTGTTCCTCCCCCCTTCCCCAATTAGGGTTAGAGTGAGCCAGGACGGACAATTTCTACATTATGTCTTCCCATATCAGTTCCTGGATTCCCCTGAGTGGGAATCACTGCCTCCTTCTGAAGAGGGAACATTTCAGGTAACCTCACAGAACACAATTGCATCTTTGGGGGTTTTTGAGATTGTGTGTTGTGTGTGTGGTGGTTTTTGCCTGTTTGTTTACTTTCTGGGTCAGAATCATATCACAACAAGAACAACAACTTATTTATATGCCACCCATCTGACTGGGTTCCCCCAGCCACTCGGGGCAACTTCCAACAAATTACAACACAGTGAGACATCAAACATTAAAAACTTCCCTATACCGGGCTGCCTTCAGATGTCTTCTAAAAATCAGATACAGTCAAACCTCGGTTGTCAAACGTAATCCGTCCTGAAAGCCCGTTCCAGGCTTCCAAAACGTTCCAACAACTGAATTATGGCTTCTGGTCGGTTGCAAGATCTTCCTGCACTCAGCAGAAGCCACATTGGGTGTTCAGCTTCCAAGAAATGTTTGAAAACCGGAGCATTTACTTCCGAGTTTTTGGCATTCGGGAGCTGAATTGTTCGAAAACGGAGCCGTTCGGGAGCCAAGGTTTGACTGTACAGTCATACCTCGGGTTGAATGTGCTTCGGGTTGAGTGCGTTCGAGTTGCGGCAACCCAGAAGTAACGGAGCACGTTACTTCCGGGTTTCGTCTCTTGTGCATGCGCAGACTCTCAAAATGATGTCATGCGCAGAAGCGCCAAAACATGACCCATGCACGCGCAGACACGTGGACTCGGGTTACGTTTGCTTCTAGATGCGAACGGGGCTCCGGAACGAATCCCGTTCGCATCTAGAGGTACCACTGTAGTTGTTTATTTCCTTGACATCTGATGGGAGGGTGTAATAGAGGCAAAGAACTGCTCTAGTCATTCCATGCACTCAAAAAATCTTTGGGCTTATGTTTCTTAGTAATCCTACCTCTACCCCACTGATGCCACATAGCAAGCTGCATACAAATCATACCTCGGAAGTCGAACAGAATCCGTTCTGGAAATCCGTTCGACTTCCAAAATGTTTGGAAACCAAAGCGCAGCTTCTGATTAGCTGCAGGAAGCTCCTGCAGCCAATCGGAAGCCCCATCAGACGTTCGGCTTCCAAAAGAACATTCGAAAACTGGAATATTCACTTCTGGTTTTCGATCTTTCGGGAGCAGGAACATTCGACTCCCAATGCGTTCAGGAGCCGAGGTACGACTGTACTTTGAAAGCGAGGAGACTTTCAAAAGCAGTGTCTGTGGTGATCTATGGAGATCTGCCGTTAGAGAAAAGAAAGGTGAACATCCAAACTGGGGATGCTTAAAATAGCTGTTTGGATCTCCAAAGCAACTGGATTCCCAAAGCCCAAGGGTTGGGATTCAAAGCTGAGCTCTCCTGGGTTCAGCTTGCCTTTAAATTCTCTTGAGACCAGCTGTATATGTTTGAAATGGCCATGACAATCCAGAGGAAAGCTGACTTTGGGATTAACTTCATTATTATGGTCAAATCAAAAAAAATTCCTTCCAGTAGCACCTTAAAGACCAACTAAGTTAGTTCTTGGTATGAGCTTTCGTGTGCATGCACACTTCTTCAGATACACTGAAACGGAAGTTGCCAGATCCTTCTATATAGTGAGAAGGTGGGGAGGGGTATTACTCAGAAGGGTGGTGGGAATGGGTGATTGGCAGATAGCTGTGATGAGCCTGTTGACGACTCTTAACGACTGCAATAGGTCTTACAGGGAAAAGCAAGGGGTGAGACGGTGAAAAATGGCTTTGTCATGTATAATGAGATAAGAATCCAATGTCTTTGTTCAGACCAGGTCTCTCCATGGTTTTAAGTTTGGTAATGAGTTGCCAACACGGCTACCTATCTGTAACTTTCATTATTATGGGACATCCATGTCACAGTATTTTTAACGCTGGACAACTCCACACGCCATAAGATTGCTCTATCAAAAAATTCTTCTAAAACACTCAGTAAGTCCAAGTACAATTCCTGCATAAATGTTTGGAATGAGTGGTGCCGCCCTGTGTCTGAGGTCCTTTTAAGAATTCAGAGTCAGGATCTGTGACATGGTAAGAGTTTTGTCGTCTGGGCTGATAAATAGATTGTTCACTATACTCAATGGGACGGTGACGGCCTGCAGGGAACTTTAAAATAGAACGCACAGTGACAAGCTGCGGAAAAATCTCAAATATCCATTCCTGTATGGAGTGCCCAGCAGCTGCCTCTGAGGCGAACGTCTTCATGGAATAGCTGTGCTACAAAAGTTAAGGGGGGATGTAGATAAGATATGGGACACAGTTTTAGGAGGAAAGGAGGTGGCAAATTTGGGCCCTTTCCAGGATGCTTCAAGTCTGAGCTGTCTGTGACTGCAGAGGCTGCAATGTTCTTTGATGCTTCCGTTTTCCAAATTCACGGGCTCAACATCACAGACATCATACCGTACTTCTTTCGTACGTTCTGTACTGTTTTGTTGCTCCCTAAACGAAAAATGTGACATACATTATATTTCCTCAATTTTCTTTTTCTTTTTTAAACCAAAAAACAGACATGGGAGAATGTTGAAGGCTCTGAAAAGGAAATGAAGGGGTTCTAGCGATTAAGATAAATAAGATTATAAAGGGAGGGGAAAAGGTTTAAAATGAATAATGAACGATCTTGCTGAACTAATTTTTAAAGTAGAATACAAGAAGGGAAGGCGGGTGAAAGCAAAGAGAATAAGGTTTTGAAAGTTATAATATGAAAGAGTGTTCTTTTTTTATGCTAAATTTTTTCCTTTGTATTTTTCTTTTTTCTGTTTTTTTGTTTGGATTTTTGATGTCTGTTGTTTGTTTTTTGTGTTTTTTGTTGATTTTTGTTGATGTTAATTCTCTGGAAAACTCTAATAAAATATTATTATAAAAAACAAAACAAAAAACAGACATGGGAGGCTCTGAAGAACACGTGTGTGTGTGTGTGTGTGTGTGTGTGTGTGTACGTACGCACACACACACACACACACACACACACACACACACACACTTTAACCCATTCCCTTCTGGATATTTTTCTGCTCATAATCAACATTTTCTGTGTGTGTGCTTTTTTAAAACAACAACAGGGAGACAGTTGGGCAGCTTGTCACATCTCTCATTTTGCCCTGAAGCTCGTAAACTGGCTGAAATTTCCTTGAAGCATCAGATTATTTTTAAAGCCTGAGGCTGTATCAAGGAAACAAGCACAGTAGCGTTCCTCTTGCTTCCCTTAGAAACCGATCCTATTTCCCTATTAGGTTTGACTGCGTTTCTTGTAGAAAACAGCAAAAACTGGTTTTTATTTCATTGGAATAACATTATGTGACTTCACTATAAGCTGGCCAAGTTTTCTAATGGGCTGGAAAATGGGTTTCTCATCCCCGGAAGTCTTTCAGAGCTCCCTTCGGAAAGCGATCCTATTCTGGCTCCCCTCAGTGAGGAGGCCGAAGCAACTGCTTGCTTGGCAGCAGCCTTAAATATCAGACTCAAGGACATGGCGTGTCGCCTGTCCATGTTCTGCTTCCCAAGCCACCATTCCTTGGGTCTTGGCCAAGGAGATTCCTGGACCCAGGGAGGCCTCCAGGAGAATGTGGCTGAGCTCTTGCCACCCTGCACATGCCAACGTCTCATTTGCCCACTCCAGTGAATGAAATCCTGTGTACATTTCAAAAGTCTGGGGAAACACACATCTTTTCTCCCTTGCCAGAGTTTTACATTTCCCCAAACCTGTAAAAACAAAAGAAGCAGCTCTCATTTAAATGATTTCAGATAAAATACAGGAACGGTGTTGTTGGGTGTCAGAGAGAATTGGCACCATACGGTGGTTTGCGATTTTTGCTTTATTTACACCTGTGCTAGCATAACGCACACAGTGGAGGCAAATGTTATTCATTGCATTTATTGGAGCCCCTCATCACCAAACTTCTCTTGGCGATAAACAAATTAAACAATTGCGAATCTAAGAAAAGGTCTAACAAAAATCCTAAAAACTGTAAGAAATTATGTCCCAGCAGAGTTTGTACATACAGTTCAGCCACATATTATTAAGCTGTGGTTGAAACTTGTATGTATGAACTCTGCTAGAACATAATTTGTTATGGATTTTAGGATTTGTTGTGTAGCTATTTGCAGAGCAGCAGAGAGCATCTTTGTGGTGTCAAAACACCTCCTAAAATCACGGTGAGATTCAGAGATTAAAAAGTTAATGTCTACTATTTCATAATTTTAAGTAATTTTTAAAGACTCTGAAAATAAAAAGATCTTCACCTGGCACCAAAAATACATTATGGTTGATGACAGGTAAGCCTCTTTGAGAAGAACATTCCACAGTAGTGTGCATTTGTGTGTCACTCTTAAAAAGGTCCTCTTCTGTGTCAACATTTCCCATATATCTGATTGTGAGGATACTTGAAGGAGAGCCTCAGCTGATAATCATGGGGCACAGGTAGATGATACATATGAGAAGAGGTTATCTTTCAGGTGCTAAGGTAAAAAACACTCCTACAGTACAGTACAAGCTTTTCCAGGCATATTTATTGTAAAATCTCCTTTCCAAAAACATTTGAATTCAAAAGCAATATAAACACCCTCTCATTAATCTGGAGCCCTCATACATTTTTTCACTGGGGGGGTGTTATGTACTGAAGTTTTCACCCTGGGCCAGCAGGGGGATACTGTAGATAGTTTTCACTCAGGTCCACATATGCAAATAAGGGATTGAAAGTGACGTTCAGTGATTGGGTAGTTACAGAAAGTGGTTACAGTTGCGTTGTAGTGGAGCTCTATATAAGCAGGCTGGCTGAACCCTTCAGTTCAGTTCTGTTCTGGCCTGTGAATAAACAAGGGCTGTTTGAAGAATCGCTGTGTCGTCTGATATGTTCGCCCACAACTTAACAGGGACAGTATTGCAGCAGAAGTTCGGACAGTGTGGTGACTTTTTGTTACACTCGATACAAAGGTCTGAGGTAGCCACCTCTCCTCTCTCCTTCCCTCTGCAGGTAACGCTGACAGCAGAGACTGACTGTAGCTTCATCACTTGGCAAAGGAAGGACCTGTACTTGCTCCTGGCCAAAGAGCGCTATATCGCCCGCCTCTTCTCAGTCCTCCTCGGCTTTGACATCTCAGAGAAACTGTATGCCCTGAATGAGAAGCTTTTTGCTAAATTTGGCTTGCGGTTTGACATCCGCCTTCCCAGCCTCTACCACGTCCTGGGACCTGCCTCTTCTGACATGGAACTGGAGAAAGAACCAGAGGAGACCGAGGGTCCAGCAGCGCCCTCGGGCCACTTGCCCACCTTTGTCCAGACAGCTCCTGCGGCCCCTTGCACTGTGTCTCCTCCTGCCCCTCCTGCCCATCTCAGGAGACCTCGGCCTGACAGTGACCTGTCTGGTGAGGATTCTACCAGTCTTGTATTGGAAGATTTTGCTGAGTTGACAGGGTCCTTTATGGACTATTTGAGCGAAGGGGAATATATGAAGTGAGGGCACTTCTAACATGGGCACACATCACCCTGTGTAAGTAAGTACTCTTTGTGACGTTAGGAAGAAACACAACTGTGTGTGCTGGGAGGTGGTGTTTGATGTGTCCAGCATGCTGTGCACACCATTGTGCTGGTTTTCCTTGCAGGATGTGAAGGACGCACATCTAAGCTCATAGTTCATTTGCTCCAAAAGGGTAGTCTGAGTCCTCCTTACAGCATGAAGTAGTGTCAGGCTTTGGGGGATCCTCCCTCATGGCAGTAACAAAAGATCAAACGAAAGGAGTGTCTTACCAGTTAGAATCTTTAATAATCACACTGAGAGAACAAAGAGCACGTCTCCTAGAAATGGTGGTGCTCCCAATTAAGGGTCACTCCTCCCCCTTCGTCCCTATTAATCTACGCCACTCCTACATCTTGTAACCTGAGCTTGTAACTTCTGCATTTTCAGTTCTAACACTTTCTGAGCTCTCCATGTCCTTGGAGAAGGGGGGTGAATGCTGTCCAGAGACTGTGAATCTGTTAACTCTCTCTCTTCTAATGTTTCTTCTGCTACCTGTTCCCCATCCAGTATTTCCCAGCTTCTGCCTTCTGAACTATGCCCAAAAACAGACATGGGAGGCTCTGAAGAACACGTGTGTGTGTGTGTGTGTGTGTGTGTGTTACGTACGTACACACACACACACACACACACACCACACACACACACACTTTAACCCATTCCCTTCTGGATATTTTTCTGCTCATAATCAACATTTTCTGTGTGTGTGTTTTTTAAAAACAACAACAACAGGGAGCAGTTGGGCAGCTGTTCACATCTCTCATTTTGCCCTGAAGCTCGTAAACTGGCTGAAATTTCCTTGAAGCATCAGATTATTTTTAAAGCCTGAGGCTGTATCAAGGAAACAAGCACAGTAGCTTCCTCTTGCTTCCTTAGAACCATCCTATTTCCCTATTAGGTTTGACTGCGTTTCTTGTAGAAAACAGCAAAAACTGTTTTATTCATTGGGATAACATTATATGACTTCACTATAAGCTGGCCAAGTTTTCTAATGGGCTGGAAAATGGGTTTCTCATCCCCGGAAGTCTTTCAGAGCTCCCTTCGGAAAGCGATCCTATTCTGGCTCCCCTCAGTGAGGAGGCCGAAGCAACTGCTTGCTTGGCAGCAGCCTTAAATATCAGACTCAAGGACATGGCGTGTCGCCTGTCCATGTTCTGCTCCCAAGCCACCATTCCTTGGGTCTTGGCCAAGGAGATTCCTGGACCCAGGGAGGCCTCCAGGAGTTCCTGCACTCAGCAGAAGCCACATTGGGTGTTCAGCTTCCAAGAAATGTTTGAAAACCGGAGCATTTACTTCCGGGTTTTTGGCATTCGGGAGCTGAATCGTTCGAAACGGAGCCGTTCGGAGCCAAGGTTTGACTGTACAGTCATACCTCGGGTTGAATGTGCCTTGGGTTGAGTGCGTTCGAGTTGCGGCAACCCGGAAGTAACGGAGCGCATTTACTTCCGGGTTTCGCCTCTTGTGCATGCGCAGATGCTCAAAATGACGTCACGCGCATGCGCAGAAGACCAAAACATGGACCTGCGCACGTGCAGATGCGTGGACATGGGTTACGTTTGCTTCTAGATGCGAACGGGGCTCCGGAAACGAATCCCGTTCGCATCTAGAGGTACCACTGTAGTTGTTTATTTCCTTGACATCTGATGGGAGGGTGTAGTAGAGGCAAAGAACTGCTCTAGTCATTCCATGCACTCAAAAAATCTTTGGGCTTATGTTTCTTAGTAATCCAACCTCTACTCCACTGATGCCACATAGCAAACTGCATACAAATCATACCTCGGAAGTCGAAAAGAATCTGTTCCGGAAATCCGTTCGACTTCCAAAATGTTTGGAAACCAAGCGCAGCTTCTGATTAGCTGCAGGAAGCTCCTGCAGCCAATCGGAAGCCCCATCAGACGTTCGGCTTCCAAAAGAACATTCGAAAACTGGAATATTCACTTCTGGTTTTCGATCTTTCGGGAGCTGGAACGTTTGACTCCCAATGCGTTCAGAAGCCGAGGTACAACTGTACTTTGAAAGCGAGGAGACTTTCAAAAGCAGTGTCTGTGGTGATCTATGGAGATCTGCCGTTAGAGAAAAGAAAGGTGAACATCCAAACTGGGGATGCTTAAAATAGCTGTTTGGATCTCCAAAGCAACTGGATTCCCAAAGCCCAAGGGTTGGGATTCAAAGCTGAGCTCTCCTGGGTTCAGCTTGCCTTTAAATTCTCTTGAGACCAGCTGTATACGTTTGAAATGGCCATGACATCCAGAGGAAAGCTGACTTTGGGATTAACTTCATTATTATGGTCAAATAAAAAAAATATCCTTCCAGTAGCACCTTAAAGACCAACTAAGTTAGTTCTTGGTATGAGCTTTCGTGTGCATGCACACTTCTTCAGATACACTGAAACGGAAGTTGCCAGATCCTTCTATATAGTGAGAAGGTGGGGAGGGTATTACTCAGAAGGGTGGTGGGAATGGGTGATTGGCAGATAGCTGTGATGAGCCTGTTGACGACTCTTAACGACTGCAATAGGTCTTACAGGAAAAAGCAAGGGGTGAGACGGTGAAAAATGGCTTTGTCATGTATAATGAGATAAGAATCCAATGTCTTTGTTCAGACCAGGTCTCTCCATGGTTTTAAGTTTGGTAATGAGTTGCCAACACGGCTACCTATCTGTAACTTTCATTATTATGGGACATCCATGTCACAGTATTTTTAACGCTGGACAACTCCACACGCCATAAGATTGCTCTATCAAAAAAGTTCTTCTAAAAACACTCAGTAAGCCCTCCCCAAATCACCCAAGTACAATTCCTGCATAAATGTTTGGAATGAGTGGTGCCGCCCTGTGTCTGAGGTCCTTTTAAGAATTCAGAGTCAGGATCTGTGACATGGTAAGAGTTTTGTCGTCTGGGCTGATAAATAGATTGTTCACTATACTCAATGGGACGGTGACGGCCTGCAGGGAACTTTAAAATAGAACGCACAGTCACAAGCTGCGGAAAAATCTCAAATATCCATTCCTGTATGGAGTGCCCAGCAGCTGCCTCTGAGGCGAACGTCTTCATGGAATAGCTGTGCTACAAAAGTTAAGGGGGGATGTAGATAAGATATGGGACACAGTTTTAGGAGGAAAGGAGGTGGCAAATTTGGGCCCTTTCCAGGATGCTTCAAGTCTGAGCTGTCTGTGACTGCAGAGGCTGCAATGTTCTTTGATGCTTCCGTTTTCCAAATTCACGGGCTCAACATCACAGACATCATACCGTACTTCTTTCGTACGTTCTGTACTGTTTTGTTGCTCCCTAAACGAAAAATGTGACATACATTATATTTCCTCAATTTTCTTTTTCTTTTTTAAACCAAAAAACAGCCATGGGAGAATGTTGAAGGCTCTGAAAATGAAATGAAGGGGTTCTAGCGATTAAGATAAATAAGATTATAAAGGGAGGGGAAAAAGGTTTAAAATGAATAATGAACGATCTTGCTGAACTAATTTTTAAAGTAGAATACAAGAAGGGAAGGCGGGTGAAAGCAAAGAGAATAAGGTTTTGAAAGTTATAATATGAAAGAGTGTTCTTTTTTTATGCTAATTTTTTTCCTTTGTATTTTTCTTTTTTCTGTTTTTTCTGTTTGGATTTTTGATGTCTGTTGTTTGTTTTTTTGTGATTTTTGTTGATGTTAATTCTCTGGAAAACTCTAATAAAATATTATTATAAAAAACAAAACAAAAAACAGACATGGGAGGCTCTGAAGAACACGTGTGTGTGTGTGTGTGTGTGTGTGTACGTACGTACACACACACACACACACACACACACACACACACACACACTTTAACCCATTCCCTTCTGGATATTTTTCTGCTCATAATCAACATTTTCTGTGTGTGTGCTTTTTTAAAACAAACAACAACAACAGGGAGTCAGTTGGGCAGCTTGTCACATCTCTCATTTTGCCCTGAAGCTCGTAAACTGGCTGAAATTTCCTTGAAGCATCAGATTATTTTTAAAGCCTGAGGCTGTATCAAGGAAACAAGCACAGTAGCATTCCTCTTGCTTCCCTTAGAAGCCAATCCTTTTCCCTATTAGGTTTGACTGCGTTTCTTGTAGAAAACAGCAAAAACTGATTTTTATTGCATTGGAATAACATTATATGACTTCACTATAAGCTGGCCAAGTTTTCTAATGGGCTGGAAAATGGGTTTCTCATCCCCGGAAGTCTTTCAGAGCTCCCTTCGGAAAGCGATCCTATTCTGGCTCCCCTCAGTGAGGAGGCCGAAGCAACTGCTTGCTTGGCAGCAGCCTTAAATATCAGACTCAAGGACATGGCGTGTCGCCTGTCCATGTTCTGCTTCCCAAGCCACCATTCCTTGGGTCTTGGCCAAGGAGATTCCTGGACCCAGGGAGGCCTCCAGGAGAATGTGGCTGAGCTCTTGCCACCCTGCACATGCCAACGTCTCATTTGCCCACTCCAGTGAATGAAATCCTGTGTACATTTCAAAAGTCTGGGGAAACACACATCTTTTCTCCCTTGCCAGAGTTTTACATTTCCCCAAACCTGTAAAAACAAAAGAAGCAGCTCTCATTTAAATGATTTCAGATAAAATACAGGAACGGTGTTGTTGGGTGTCAGAGAGAATTGGCACCATACGGTGGTTTGCGATTTTTGCTTTATTTACACCTGTGCTAGCATAACGCACACAGTGGAGGCAAATGTTATTCATTGCATTTATCGGAGCCCTCATCACCAAACTTCTCTTGGCGATAAACAAATTAAACAATTGCGAATCTAAGAAAAGGTCTAACAAAAATCCTAAAAACTGTAAGAAATTATGTCCCAGCAGAGTTTGTACATACAGTTCAGCCACATATTATTAAGCTGTGGTTGAAACTTGTATGTATGAACTCTGCTAGAACATAATTTGTTATGGATTTTAGGATTTGTTGTGTAGCTATTTGCAGAGCAGCAGAGAGCATCTTTGTGGTGTCAAAACACCTCCTAAAATCACGGTGAGATTCAGAGATTAAAAAGTTAATGTCTACTATTTCATAATTTTAAGTAATTTTTAAAGACTCTGAAAATAAAAAGATCTTCACCTGGCACCAAAAATACATTATGGTTGATGACAGGTAAGCCTCTTGAGAAGAACATTCCACAGTAGTGTGCATTTGTGTGTCACTCTTAAAAAGGTCCTCTTCTGTGTCAACATTTCCCATATATCTGATTGTGAGGATACTTGAAGGAGAGCCTCAGCTGATAATCATGGGGCACAGGTAGATGATACATATGAGAAGAGGTTATCTTTCAGGTGCTAAGGTAAAAAACACTCCTACAGTACAGTACAAGCTTTTCCAGGCATATTTATTGTAAAATCTCCTTTCCAAAAACATTTGAATTCAAAAGCAATATAAACACCCTCTCATTAATCTGGAGCCCTCATACATTTTTTTCACTGGGGGGGTGTTATGTACTGAAGTTTTCACCCTGGGCCAGCAGGGGGATACTGTAGATAGTTTTCACTCAGGTCCACATATGCAAATAAGGGATTGAAAGTGACGTTCAGTGATTGGGTAGTTACAGAAAGTGGTTACAGTTGCGTTGTAGTGGAGCTCTATATAAGCAGGCTGGCTGAACCCTTCAGTTCAGTTCTGTTCTGGCCTGTGAATAAACAAGGGCTGTTTGAAGAATCGCTGTGTCGTCTGATATGTTCGCCCACAACTTAAAAGGGACAGTATTGCAGCAGAAGTTCGGACAGTGTAGTGACTTTTTTTTACACTCGATGCAAAGGTCTGAGGTAGCCACCTCTCCTCTCTCCTTCCCTCTGCAGGTAACGCTGACAGCAGAGACTGACTGTAGCTTCATCACTTGGCAAAGGAAGGACCTGTACTTGCTCCTGGCCAAAGAGCGCTATATCGCCCGCCTCTTCTCAGTCCTCCTCGGCTTTGACATCTCAGAGAAACTGTATGCCCTGAATGAGAAGCTTTTTGCTAAATTTGGCTTGCGGTTTGACATCCGCCTTCCCAGCCTCTACCACGTCCTGGGACCTGCCTCTTCTGACATGGAACTGGAGAAAGAACCAGAGGAGACCGAGGGTCCAGCAGCGCCCTCGGGCCACTTGCCCACCTTTGTCCAGACAGCTCCTGCGGCCCCTTGCACTGTGTCTCCTCCTGCCCCTCCTGCCCATCTCAGGAGACCTCGGCCTGACAGTGACCTGTCTGGTGAGGATTCTACCAGTCTTGTATTGGAAGATTTTGCTGAGTTGACAGGGTCCTTTATGGACTATTTGAGCGAAGGGGAATATATGAAGTGAGGGCACTTCTAACATGGGCACACATCACCCTGTGTAAGTAAGTACTCTTTGTGACGTTAGGAAGAAACACAACTGTGTGTGCTGGGAGGTGGTGTTTGATGTGTCCAGCATGCTGTGCACACCATTGTGCTGGTTTTCCTTGCAGGATGTGAAGGACGCACATCTAAGCTCATAGTTCATTTGCTCCAAAAGGGTAGTCTGAGTCCTCCTTACAGCATGAAGTAGTGTCAGGCTTTGGGGGATCCTCCCTCATGGCAGTAACAAAAGATCAAACGAAAGGAGTGTCTTACCAGTTAGAATCTTTAATAATCACACTGAGAGAACAAAGAGCACGTCTCCTAGAAATGGTGGTGCTCCCAATTAAGGGTCACTCCTCCCCCTTCGTCCCTATTAATCTACGCCACTCCTACATCTTGTAACCTGAGCTTGTAACTTCTGCATTTTCAGTTCTAACACTTTCTGAGCTCTCCATGTCCTTGGAGAAGGGGGGTGAATGCTGTCCAGAGACTGTGAATCTGTTAACTTCTCTCTCTCTAATGTTTCTCCTGCCTACCTGTTCCCCATCCAGTATTTCCCAGCTTCTGCCTTCTGAACTATGCCCCTCTGCAAACCGCTATTCCAAATCTATACTGTCCTCCTGCTCTTGGGAAGATTCAGGAACAGGGAGGGGAGGCTCCCACCATTCCTTCTCAGTGCAGTCCTCCCCAGCACGGTCCCTGACAAGTGGCCCCGATCCAAGCAGCTTCAAATGTGAGGTTTGAGCCTCAGGCCTGCCTGGAGGTTATACCTGCTAGATATGTAGGTTCAGCATAAGCTTTCAAAGCCAGTTCAAGAAGTTGCAAATTAGGACCTGACAAAGTGTTGTTATTTATGGACCTTAAGGTCCTCTGCAGGGCATACCAGGAGAGGCGGTCCTGTAGGTACGTGGGTCCTAGTTTTGAAATGTTTGAAAACCGAAGACTCAACAGCTGACAGCTAGACCTCCAGATCTTGCACTTAGTGGAAGCCACGTGGCATGTTCGACTTCTGAGGCTTGTTCAAAAACCAAAGAATTTACTTCCGTGTTTACAGCGTTCATAAACCAAAATGCTTGTCAGTGGAGACATTCGAAAACTGAGGTACCACTGTATCTCCTTGATGGTTCACCCCGGCAATTTCCTGAGCACAGGTTTGGCCTGTATTTTAGCTCAATCCAACATCCGGCAGCCCATTTCAATACTCCAAGCGCTGATTAAACGCCAACATTTACTAGATCCACAAATTATGAGTGTATTGCACCCATAAACTCTGGACCCCACAAACGCATGACAGTGTGGATGAACAGTTCTAACGAGAATGACAATATGCTTTTTGTCCTGCAGCTTCTGGAAGCTTCCTGAGGAGTAATCACCAGGCCTCTGCAGAAAGACGAGCCCCTCTGGCTCCTACGCAGACCCCAGAACTCTAGAAAGAGTTTGGACTCTCAAAGAACCGCACATCACCAGATGGTCACTCACGGCTGATCATAATGGTGCTCATTACTTGTGTGTCGACACGTGGATTGCACCAGCACCAGCATGGCGCACTTGGAAGTGCATGCATGAGACTGAAGTGTGATGTTGGAACACTTCCCACAGATTGTTGACCTGCAGTGGCACCAGGCTATTTCTGATTGTATTCTTGAACACTTGCCATATGGTTCTGCTGTGAGGTGCATTAAACGTCTTGGAAATGGTATCTATAGCTAATGAATGGAATTTGCTCTCTGTTGAGGGGCTGTTGAATAGTCTTCTATTGCAAAACATGGTAGGAGGGAATTACAGTGGCACCTCAGGTTAAGAATTTAATTCGTTCTCGAGGTCCGTTTTTAACCTGAAACTCAATCAATCTTTATTACACAATACACAATTCATACAGCCTACCTCCAGTCGGGTGGTGCTGTGGGTAAACCACAGAGCCTAGGGCTTGCCGATCGCATGGTCGGCGGTTCGAATCCCCGCGGCAGGGTGAGCTCCCATCGTTTGGTCCCAGCTCCTGCCCACCTAGCAGCTCGAAAGCACCGTCAAAGTGCAAGTAGATAAATAGGGACCGCTTTCTAGCGGGAAGGTAAACGGCGTTTCCGTGTGCTGCGCTGGCTCGCCAGAGCAGCTTTGTCACGCTGGCCACGTGACCCGGAAGTGTCTCCGGACAGCGCTGGCCCCCGGCCTCTTAAGTGAGATGGGCGCACAACCCTAGAGTCGGACACAACTGGCCCGTACAGGCAGGGGTACCTTTACCTTTACCTTTTACCTCCAGGTTAAACAAGCATTTTGTTCAGAATATAGGGATCATTGGTTCTTGCAACCACTGATAAAAACTTTGCCACTGCTAATGTTCTAGCGTTTGTCCGGTCTTCCAATAGGAACCTGACATAGTGAGCCTCTGATTTTCCTGGGAAAGGAACCAGCAAGGGTAATATCAGTTCAGCCCTGGCTTGCTCATATTTTGCACAGTGCAACAAAATATGTTTTATGGAATCAATGTCTTGAGCACACGAGCAAAGTCTGTCCTGGTAGGGAACTCCTCTCAACCTGCCATCCAACACTGCAGAAAAAGCCACCTCTATTGGTCTGTCACCCCCCCAACTGTATTACCTGGGTTATGAAGGTGCCCTAAAGACGTTAAAGCAAAGATTATGGGATAATGCACACAGTGACTTGTGATCTCGATCACACGCAGTCTGTAGTCCGCTGGCAGTAGGAGTACAATATGGGCATGTCTTTAATTAACATCTTACATTAAAAACCTGAAACTGTTCTTAACCTGAAGCACCACTTTAGCTAATGTTCTCATCCTGAAGCAAAGTTCTTAACCCGAGGTACTATTTCTGGGTTAGCGAAGTCTGTAACTTGAAGCGTCTGTAACCTGAAGCGTCTGTAACCCGAGGTACCACTGTATTCTTTTCTTCATGTCTTCTGATCTGGTTGACGAAGGATAAACGCTGCCTAGCTGGAACTGAAATTTAAGAGGGGGTGGTTGGAAGGAGGAAGTCATAACCTACATATATGACTGACCTTTCTTGCAGTAGAGTGACTTTTACCTCAACTGGGGGTACAAACAGAGGCGGAGCTAGCTGCTCCGGCACCCATGCTGTGCACTCGGGGGGGGGGGCAGGGTTAGCTACTCGCGGGGAATGCTGCCTGCGGCCAGCAGCGAGTGTCCCTGGGGGGCGGGGCGGCGATGTCACCCCCCCCCATCAGGGATGACACCCAGGGTGGGCCGCACACAGCACCCACCCCTTCCTCCGCCAGTGGGTACAAACTGGTAGTTTGCGAACTGATGGCTCTGTAAATCGGGTGCAGGAGAACAGAGTGTAGATGTGAGCCAAAGGTTGACTCCAGGGCAACTCAAGAACCTTGAGGAAAACTGTTAGGATAAAGTTTGAATCGGAGAGTTCAGCTGCTCTCTAGATGCTGCATCCGGAAACAAGATATGACATGGCCAAAGGCCAGGGATGTTGGCAGTTGTAAGCAGAAGAACGGCTCAACTGGATCAGGCCAAAGGCACATTCAGTCCAACATCCTGTTCTCATGGTGGCCAATCAGATGCTTCTCTGAGACAGGAAGCTCACAAGCAAGACCTGGGAATCCCCACTTTAAATGAGATTCAGGAGCATCCTGGCTCCAAGACTGGAAGCAGAACATAGTCATCATGCCTGGCAGCCACGGATAGCTCTATCCTGCATGGATTTGCCTACTCCTCTTTTAAAGAATTCTGGTGCTGGAGGAGACTCTTGAGAGTCCCATGGACTGCAAGAAGATCAACCCTATCCACTCTTAAGGAAATCAGCCCTGAGTGCTCCCTGGAAGGACAGATCCTGAAGCTGAGGCTCCAAGACTTTGGTCCATGAGAAGAGAAGACTCCCTGGAAAAGACCCTGATGTTGGGAAAGATGGAGGGCACAAGGAGAAGGGGGCGACAGAGGACGAGATGGTGGGACAGTGTTCTCCAAGCTACAAACATGAGTTTGACCAAACTGCAGGAGGCAGTGGAAGACAGGAGGGCCTGGCGTGCTCTGGTCCAGGGGGTCACGAAGAGGCGGATACAACTAAACGACTAAACAACAACAACTTTTAAAGCCATCCACGATGGTAGCCATTATTGCATCTTGTGGGAGCAAATTTACTATGCACTGTGTAAATAAGGATTTTATTTTGTCCAACATCCAGCTTCATTGGACGGGGCCAAGTCCTGATGTTATGAGAAAGAGAGAACCTCTCTCTATCAACTATCCCCAAACCATGCGCAGGTGGCGCTGTGCTCTAAACCACCGAGCCTCCTGGGCTTGCCGATCAGAAGGTCGGCGGTTTGAATCCCCGCGACGGGGTGAGCTCCCATTGCTCGGTCCCTGCTCCTGCCAACCTAGCAGTTCGAAAGCAGCCCAGTGCAAGTAGATAAATAGGTACCGTTGCGGTGGGAAGGTAAATGGCATTTCTGTGCACTCTGGCTTCTGTCACAGTGTCCCGTTGCGCCAAAAATGGTTTAGTCATGCTGGCCACATGATCCGGAAAGCTGTCTGTGGACAAACGCCGGCTCCCTCGGCCTGAAAGCGAGATGAGCGCTGCAACCCCAGAGTCACCTGTGACTGGACTTAACTTTCCAGGGGTCTTTTACCTTTTACCTTACCTTGCATCATGTCCCGCTTTACATTTTCTCTAAATTAAAAAGGCCCCCAAATTGCAATCTTTCCTCGTGGGGGAGTTGCTCCCACCCCTCAATCATTTTGGTTCCCCTTGTTCGAACCTATTCCAGCTCTATATCCTTTTTCAGGCAAGACAACCAGAACTAGACACAGTATTCCAGGTGCGATTGCATCATAGATTTTAATAATGGCATTATGATATTGGCAGTTTTATTTCAATGACTGCGTCACAGAATTCACCTTGTTTCACAGCTACCACTCAGTGACACAACATTTTTGTTGACTTTCACAACCCAATACCTCTTTCCTTGCCAATTCAGGCACCCTAAATGCAGTGCTTCTCCCCCTGATGGTTTGCCACAGTACAGAACCTATAATATATAAACCACACAATCCTCTTCCTCTTGTTATGTTTTATTATTGACTCAGTAAATCACATAGTTGTATCCAGTGCTTTTTTTCCTGGGGGTACTCAAGGATACGCAGTACTGGCATATTTTTTCTAGAAGAAAAGCACTGGCTGAATCCTATATTTCTTTACTGGTAGTTGTGACAACTTTTTTTTTTTTTTAAGCATGCAATCCTTTTTCCTTCTTACCACTTTGAGCAATCTGATGTCATAATACATAGTTTACGTGCTACTTGTTTTGACATGTTAGGAAAGCATAACAGCTGCAGCAGAAGCTACAAACAGAATATCAAAGGAGACTATTAGCATCAGTGAATACCTGAGCCAAAATCATGATATCAGACACTCCTCAGTGAAGACTGCACTTGTTTTACAAATGGTTGAGTTTTAGCAGCTGTTATCGGAAACAAGACAACCCCTACAGGTAACACTCGTCACTAGAAATGGGCAAACTCTTCCTGGGTTGACTTGGGAATGGAAGTCTCTCATAGTCTGCTGACTCCCAGCATGCTGTCAGCTAGTATATTGAGCTGATGTAGAAGAGGGGGGAATAATAAAATCTTCCTCTTGCAGGGAGCGTCAGGATAACAGCATTACGAAACATCAAGCAAAGCAACATGTAAAGAACACAACATTAATTATGTCTAATCTACGAACAAGAATGTGCTGTGAACAAATGCAGCTCACATTTGCTTCAAAGAATTCCATTCCTAAACACTGAGAGAACACGGGAACTGAGAGAATTTCTGTATCTGCACCCACTTAGTTCCCCGACAACCGGGCTTCGATCACATTTTTTATTTCAGAATATATGCCTTCCCCCTTAGGACGCTTCTTGTTATCTCTTAGCTCAGTTGTGCTAATCACAGGCAACGGTGAGGTCGTGTAGAAGTGGGTTGTTTCGTGTCAGAGTCAGCAGCTGAGGGAGACAGAATATCTCCTTACTGTAAAAGAAAAAGACTGAAGTTAAAGGATGCTAACAAATCCAGTGATAGGGTGGGGAGGTGGGGAGGTTTTTTGGTAAAGGTCTATTAAATCAGCCAGCATGGTGACTAGAAGATTAGACAACAGCTCTCATTGCACAACTTTTATTGGCCCTTTTGAGAATTGCAGTCCAACATCTGCAGCACATCAAGCTGGTCACCCACTGCACATCTGTCCTGCGCAAGTCCAGAGCCACAGGGCCTCAGGCCTCGGGCCGGCCCACCCATGAGGCAAGGGGAAGCGGCCACCTCAGGATTGTTCAGGCTGTTTTGTCAAGCCTGCCAGCCTTCATTTTCATTTCATTTCACTTTTAATTTGTATACCTCTTTTCTATATTACTATAGAAAAGGCGATTTACAAGCTGAAGAAACAACAAAACAGACAGATCACGCACCTTATAATAATCTGATCCAATACCAAAAAGTCATAATACAAACATAACTTTAAAATATACTACTTGTATCAAATAAAGCAATATTCAATTGGAATATAATAGTAAACAGTAGAATTATATGTCAGCCAATAATGAACAGTTTACACTTAACGATTACAATAAAGAATTACTAAACTATAATCAATAAAAATAATGGAAGGTCACAATCGTTAAAATACCACAAAACACCCAAAACCATGTAAAAGGGTGGGACATGCAAGGCAGCTGTAGTGACAGGTCTAGGTTTTTATATTACCAGTTTCTCCCACACGTGGGCATTGTTTGGCCTTTGAGAGGAACCCCTAATGAAAAGGGAAGAAATCCCTCAGGTTAACCTCTTGATTATCTGCATGGACCCCAAACACCATAAAATAAAGACAAAAGGGCTTTCCATTCCTCACTCGGTAAAGTTCCCTTGCCGGCTGAGTCCTTAGAAATCATGCATCTTGGTTACCTGGTGTCGACAGGCAGGGGAGCAGTACAGAACTGGCCCCAAACAGGAGTCTCCTCTTTATTCCTCCTCCAGGTCTTGTGACGGTGCTGCAGCATCACGCTTTTCACCTGGCACAGCGGGGCAGAGTGGGTCAGGAGGCCTTTGCCTGCGGTCTGCTGCTTGGGTCTGCCAAACACAACAAGGGGATGCGAGGGAGCAACAGGGACTTCTTGTGCATGCAGGATAAATGTGTGGGTTTTGTTTGCTCACCCAAACTTTAAGGTATTTACAGACAATCCTTTACATGCCCCATTCACATATTTTGGGAATGATAATAATAATAATTTATTATTTATACCCTACCCATCTGGCTGGGTTTCCCCAGCCACTCTGGGCTGCTCCCAACAGAGTATTAAAAACACGACAAAAGATCAAACTTTAAAAACTTCCCTAAACAGGGTTGCCTTCAGATGTCTTCTAAACATCAGGTGGTTGTTTATTTCTTTAAAATCTGATGGGAGGGCGTTCCACAGGGCGGGTGCCACTACCGAGAAGGCCCTCTGCCTGGTTCCCTGTAGCTTCACTTCTTGCACTGACTGAGGGAACCGCCAGAAGGCCCTCGGAGCGGGACCTCAGTGTCCACACAATATTACCAGCCTTCTGTAAACAGCTCATGTTTCCCCAGCTGTTGTTCCATGTTTTCCCCCCTATTCCATTTACCCCGGGGGTGCCCAAACTTTTTTCAAAGAGGGCCAGATTTCATGAAGTGAACATGTGTGAGGGCCGACCACAGGGGCCGGATTGAACCTGCTGGTGGGCTGGATTAGGCCCCCAAAACGGGCTGTGGACATACCTGATTTATCCCCACCCCGAGCCCACTAGGAAATAGTAGCATAAACTCTACCAGTGTGCATGCCCTATATTTCTACCTTCCAGTCCTTTGATGGGTGTTTAGTCTTTTGCACGTGCAAGGAGATTCTGGGAGGTTCATCCCTGCACCTCTTCACGTCCTTCCTGGGTGCACCTTCACCATTACATTTCCCTCAGAACCCATTTGTTTGTATGTATGTACTTGCGTGTCCCTTCCTCTTTCTTTGACTGTTTAGAGTTTCCTAAGCTATACAAAAGGGAAGAGTAAAAATAAATAAAAAGGGAGGTGGGGAGTAGCAAGGTTTCCTCCCGGGTGCAAAAAGAGGGTGAAATTGCCCAATACTATTTCCTAGCATGTTTGGGAAGTCCCATCACCTTCCCTTTTGGTAAAATGAGAGAAGTTGCTCCACAATCTTTTTGCTCTGTCAGGTTTAGCATAGTAAACAAGCCTGCAAGGATGGCAGCTGGCAGCTGAAGAGCTCTTCTCTCTTGTGGCAGAAAGAACAAAGGAGTCAGATGACAAGCCTCCTGCAGGAAAGAGGGATGTTGCTTGCCTTCCCTCAACAATCTATATATATATATATATTACACACATTAACAACAACTACAGCAACAATTTACAGTCCCATGTTTACAGCTCTAAACAAGAGGCCAATTATCCAAGGGGTGGAGTGAAAGAATGGCGGCCCCAATAATCAAGAAAGACAACAAGACTGAACCAGCAAAATTTAAATTAATCTCCCTATTCTCAGCAATGAGCAAACAGTAAAATGTTCTGATAGGGCACTGCAAAACTATTCAACAGTCTGCCCACCTCTAGGGGTGGTCAACTAGGTGGTTTGTTGGGACGTGGGTGGCGCTGTGGTCTAAACCACTGAGCCTCTTGGGCTTGCCAATCGGAAGGCGGCCGGTTCGAATCCCCACAACGGAGTGAGCTCCTGTTTACTCTGTTCCAGCTCCTGCCAACCTAGCAATTCGAAAAATAGGTACCACTGTGGCGGGAAGGTAAATGGCATTTCTATGCACTCTGGTTTCTGTCACGGTGTTCTGTTGCGCCAGAAGCAGTTTAGTCATGCTGGCCACATGACTCGGAAAGCTGTCTGTGGACAAAGGCCGGCTCCCTCGGCCCGAGATAAGCACCGCCACCCCATAGTCGCCTTTGACTGGACTTAACCTTCCAGGGGTCCTTTACCTTCACCTTTTTTTACCTGTTGGTGCCCCCTACTGTTCAATTTGTACTTTAGCAATATTGCAACTACCCCTATCCAGTGCTGCTCATAGTCTAAGCCTGTCCTGGGGACAGGGCAGTTTCTCTCCTGCTGCATGCCAATGGGAGTGTTTTTCTTTATTTCAAAGAAAATGCAATCTCACACATTTGTTATTAACATAAATTGAAAACGTGTCTCAGAGAACTTATGAGTGAAGTGCCTGGCCCTGACTGTCAAGGGCCCTCTCCATCCAAAGGAATGCACATGGTAGATAGTTAAATCTTTAATGTCAAAGCTGACACAGTCATTTCTACAGCTCTGAATACCCACACACACCAGTCTAGTGTCTAGACAGCTATTTACTACCCTTTGGAGTAGTTGCAGCAACAGGGGACCACTCCCCTCTATCAGTTTATGTACCGTCCCCTGATGGGCTACACACCCACAGCCACAGACTACACCTGCGTGGAAGCCTTCAAAGGCTTCCATGCGCTAGGTCACCTTGGATTCATCCCACGTTGAAATTTTGGCTCTGAAGGGGGCCCTAGTTCTGCAACAACATGGTTCTGCAAGCAGATGTGGAGGCCATGGGCTGTTTCAGGGATGTGCATGCCAGTGATTTGAGAAAGAACCACCATCTTCAGACTGGGCCACCCCTTTTGCTGAAAAGCTGGAGGCTAACGCCCACTTCTCTGACTCTGTGGTGCTCAGTGTCCCCATGTGGCCCCTTATCCTTGCCAATCAGGCATTCTCCTGGCAGGATGCTACTAATTTGCAAGTAACACTTTCAAGTACGATGGTTGCAGTCCCTGGGAAGGAATCGCTGCTTGCTTTCACCTGCGAAACTCATGAATAATAAAGACGTGTCTTTGGTCTGTGTGTTCCTTGGCTGAGTTTGGTGGAAATATGGGAGGAGTGGGCTGATAAGGGAAGTGGTTCATAATACAATAATGTGCTTCTAGGTGAATGATCTCAGTGGGTGGATCTTCCCCAGGAAATTGACGAAGGTTCAAAGTAATAACCCTCTGTTATTTAGGGGAAGGGTAAAGTGTCTACTCTTGGGTGGAAGTTTGTGTTGCTGTTATATTCCACAAATGTGACTGTTGCAGAGAGTCTTGTGAAGATACCTAGGCTGCAATCCTGTACACATTCACCTTGCAGTAAGTCACATTGGACTTAATGGGCTTTACTTTTGAACAACCATGCATAGGATTGCACGGTCAGCTAAGCAAATCTTGAAAGGAAAGGGGGACAGAGAGAATCGTGAGAAGCATCTCAGAATTGTCCGTTGTTACTCACATGATGATGCTGGTGCTGAATGAGGAGTTGCTGCTGAGAAAGGCGATCTCAATGTTGGTGTCCGAAGTCCTCCTCGTCTGCAGGCGAAATTCTACCAGGCTATGATACACTAGGCAACAGAGATCACATTTTGGGCAAAAAGCACTGAATATCTTTAGACTCTGGCTTTAACAGAAGATGGCTGCTAATCTTTTGCAAAGCCATCCATAATTTACCCCTCTTCAAACCTGTAGCAGGAAACCCCCCCCCAAATCATTCAGTTTGTACAAACTTCACACACACTCACACTCACACACTACATACACTACGCTTCTGTTATAAATTCATAGAAAATCAACCATACATCGGATTTGCACTGTTCCACTTTTATTTTACTCCATGAAGGAAGGACTACAAAATGGGGAAGGTTTGATACAGACCAGCCATAATCCCTTGAACATCCCAGCACATCCACGGGAGCCCTGCCCAGTTGCTATGCCAACCCTGATGGTCTCAGACAGAAGACCATCAACAACACAACGGACTGCATAACAAAAGAACAGTGATTGGATTCCCCCTCAGGGGGCAGGACTACCTTTTGTCTTCTGAAAATGACTCATGGGGAGGGGGAAAGGGGGAACCAGCCAGGTGACAGGACACTCAGGTTACCACCACCACCCCTCCCTCAACCCCTCCTTTCTGTGATGTATGTATGATGTTTCTGGGGGTGGGCTTGACCTACAGGATGGGAATTTCAAAAGTTTTTATAAGGCCTTGCACACCATTTTTCTTTGTCCTTCCTCTCTCCTGCAAATGAGGGGAGCACCCTGTTGCAACAGTTCAATAAAGGCCAAGCCTACAGGCTGCTGATTTGCTCCAAGTTATCCTGGTTGGTGTCTTTTTTTTTTGTCCAAGGGAGCCCTCGGATTTTTCCGTTAACAAACCATTTAACTGCTCCTTTGTTAAAGGTTAGAGTTAGGAACAGACATAATCCACAGCTCTGGATGCATTTTACAATTTTTTCAGAGCTGGTTCCTCAGCATCAGAGACCTTAACACTACAGACTGAACTGTTCTATCTCTGACCATGAATGTTTTTTACTGGAGCCAATTCACACATTCAATTCCAGCCATCAAGTGTAGAGAAATCAATTCACGCAGCCAGCACTAGTGAAGCAGTCGCCCCCACGAGCCCCTTTCAGATCTTTCAATCGTACATACTACACGTGCAGGGGGGAGTAGGATCATAGCAGCTGTTCCCACCCCTGACCTACACATTTATCTGAAGATCTGCATAGATCAGGGGTTGCCAGCATGGAATCAGCATGACTGAATGTACCTCTTACGGGGCCTGCGAATGGTCTCAGTAAATATACCCTCCAAATCCATAATGCATTAGACTGTTTGCTCCTCCTGCTAAATTCCTGTTTGCATTGGCTCAGCCTCTCCTACAGTGAACATGCCCCCTTCAACCTACCCACAGTTCATTGGATTCTAGGACAGGACACCTATTTTAATTTCCATTCTGAACAGAAAAGAGGTGCAAATAGCATCTATCTGTAAGTATGCCAATGGCTGGCATAGGTTTTTTTCCCTTTGGGGACCAATGGGAAGGGGATGCCCCCACGTTTTGTGGCCCCATCTATTTTTCTTTTCTTTTCTTTTCAGATGTGGAAGCCATTTTCTTTTATGCTACACCCTCTCTCCTGCCATTTTGTGTTAGGCCATGGCACTGTGGCAGACATTTTGTCCGACTAACACCCAATGCGCTTTCCTCAAAATTCCAAATGTGCTCGCTCTGGCCCCCCAAAGATTGGTAGTAGATCATGGCACTGTGCTCCACCCATGCCCTACAAGTTTATTTGATAGTCTGCACAAAGCCTAGATATGTGCTCTGGGTGTCTAGAGGTCTCCCATGTGACTGTGAAAAAACACAGTTCCCAATCATATGGAGAGAGATGCGCATGGGCAGACTCTATGCAGGCCTTCAAACAAATGTGCACAAGTCAGATGTGTGAGAAGAGTGCATGAGAGCCCATTCCTTACACTACATCTGTAGGGGTCTCTCTGTGGGATTTTGATATTCTCTGCTGTTGCCTTGAAATATCAAGATAATCTCAGCCCTCTGGATGCACTCACCACAGTATGGTGCTGATGCAGCTGTGGTCAGGTAAACCTTTACCTCTGTCGATAGTTTCCCCACGTGGACTCCTCCATTGTCTAGCAGTCCTAAAACAAGAATAAATAAAGTTTCTAGTCCTTATGAATAAAACAAGAATAAATGAAGTTTCTAGTTAAATCCTTCGAAGACAGAGGTCCTCTGGCTGGGACGGAGCAATATGGGATTGAGGGGGCAACTCCCATCTCTTGCGGGGGTGCAATTAGTGCCAACATCATCCGTTAAGAGTTTGGGTGTAATCTTCGATACCTCCCTCTCTATGGAGGCGTAGATTACAGCTATAACAAAGGCGGCATGTTTTCATCTCCGCCAAGCTAAGCAGTTGGCTCTTTATCTCTCTCGCCCTGACCTAGCCACTGTGATCCACGCGACGGTCACCTCCAGACTGGATTATTGTAACTCGCTCTACGTGGGGCTGCCCTTGAGACTGACCCAGAAACTCCAGCGGGTGCAGAATGCTGCAGCGAGACTCCTTATGGGGTCTTCGCTGCGAGATCACATTCATCCGGTGCTATACCAGCTGCACTGGCTCCCGGTGGAGTACAGGATCAGGTTTAAGGTGCTGGTTTTAACCTTTAAAGCCCTATATGGCCTAGGACCCTCGTACCTACGGGACCGCCTCTCCTGGTATGCCCCACAGAGGAACTTACGGTCTTCAAATAAAAACATCTTGAAGGTCCCAGGCCACAGAGAAGTTAGGCTGGCCTCGACCAGAGCCAGGGCTTTTTCGGCTGTGGCTCCAATCTGGTGGAACGCTCTGTCACAAGAGACAAGGGCCCTGCAGGACTTGACATCTTTCCGCAGGGCCTGCAAGACAGAGCTGTTCCACCAGGCCTTTGGTCAGGGCGCAGCCTGACTCCCTCCTCTGGCAATCGGCAATCTGCACAGAATTTTGCTTGATGGTTGCCATTAATTTGATTTTAATTTGATTTAATTAATTTTATAATGAATGTTTTTAGAATGTCGGACTATTTTGATTGTTGTTAGCCGCCCTGAGCCCAGCTTCGGCTGGGGAGGGCGGGATATAAATAAAATTTATTATTATTATTATTATTATTATTATTATTATTATTATTATGCCAGTGAAGTATGTGACCTGGTGAAATTCAATATGTGAGAGGAAGGCTGAATAAGATCCCCAGCAGTCAAGGGGGAGATTTTCAGTCCTCAGCATAGCATAGCATAGCTAGCAGATGTAGAATATATGTGAAATGAGAAAATACATCTCTCTTGTTTTGCTTGTTGTGCATGGCTATACAAACTGTCAAACGCATCTCTTAGAAGAACTTGGGTTTAGGGTATTTGGTTTGAGAGAAAGAAACAGAGCCTTTGCAGACATGTACGCTGTATCTATGTATGCGTCACGATGGGTGGGGTATAAATAAATCATCATCATCATCACCACTGAAGCCATTTCTGTCACTTTGTGTTAAGCATAAGCAAGATCAGAATCTAGATCACAAAACAAGACCATCTCTAGGCTCGTTTCTCAGACATCCCTTTGGTGATTTTATTTTCCATTGTCTGAGCAAAGAGAGGGAACGAGAACAAAGCAGTTTTGTTACTAAGAGACTGTTATGGTCCCATTTGCAGCTCAGGGCAGCACACATGAATTTCCTCTCATTTTATCCTCACAACAACCCTCTGAAGTAAGGAGACGGACCAAACGGTGACCTCTGAGCTTCGTGGATACGCTGGGAATTGTGGCCAGGTCTCCTCAGCATAGCACAAGACTGGCTCACGGAGGAAGTATACGTAGAAGCTTCATAATTTTGAAGGTAAAAATACCAATTGGGATCAGGGGAGGTGTTTTGCTACTCTTCTGGTGTTAGCTGTCACCACAAGTAAGAGGCCGTTTGCTTGAGCTGACACCCGGCACCTTGCCAAGGGCTGCCTCCTGGTCCAAACCAGGAAAGGTCTGTGATTAGTAAAGCAAAAACCAGCACAGAGCCTAAGGCCTGGCTGCTTCTTTGAAGATGAGGAAGTGGTAAACTCTTTCCTCCGAACTACTGTTCCGCAATGTGAAGCAACCCATCTCTCTCACACAGAGAGACATGCGGGTAGCTCTGCGAAGAAAAACAAAAACACCCCAAGAACAGTATATCTGAAGGAGCGTCTCCACCCCCATCATTCAGCCCAGACACTGAGGTCCAGCACCGAGGGCCTTCTGGTGGTTCCCTCCCTGCGAGAAGCCAAGTTACAGGGAACCAGGCAGAGGGCCTTCTCGGTAGTGGCGCCCGCCCTGTGGAACGCCCTCCCACCAGATGTCAAAGAGAACAACAACTACCAGACTTTTAGAAGACATCTGAAGGCAGCCCTGTTTAGGGAAGCTTTTAATGTTTGATGTATTACAGTATTTTAATTTTTTTGGAAGCCGCCCAGACTGGCTGGGGAAGCCCAGCCAGATGGGCGGGGTATAAATAATAAATAAATAAATAATAATAATAATAATAATTACTAGAACAGCACCTGTACCTGCATTTCCCCCTCTCCTTACAGACCTAAGAGCAGCTGGGGTGGGGGCTGGGAGGTCTGGTTCTCTCCAAGCCTTTAACCAGAGTTAAAGGCTATTTAAGATCAGGTATTTCCCATTCCAACACCTGCCCAGCCTTAGTTGGAAGGGATGTGGTAGGAACTGGTAGGGAATAACCCATCCCTGTGATATCTCTGTGGCAAAAGCCAAGTGGTAGTAAAAACCAGAGAAACTCTGGCTTGAGCTCAGTATAGAGTACAATGCAAGACAAGTGGCTTTTCACTTGAGGGTGTATCAGAAAGACAAAGACAGTTGTAGCTCGGAAGTCAAACAGAGTCTGTTCCGGAAGTCCATTCGACTTCTAAAACATTCACAACCCAAAGTGCAGCTTCTGATTGGCTGCAGGAAGCTCCCGTCAGACGTTTGGCTTCCAAAAGAACGTTCGAAAACTGAAACACTCACTTCCGGTTTCCGATCATTCGGGAGCAGGAACTCCCAAGGCGTTTGGGAGCCGAGGTACGACTGTACTTCATTATCAGTCTCTTTTATACATGAATGCCTACGGGTACAGATAAAGGCACACAGATTGGATCTCCAGACCACTAAATGTGGATCCCAAACTGGACTGCAGTTCTAGATCTGATTACCGGTCACCTCAAATGATGCCTTGTGCGCAGACAGGCAGTTCATGGGTACCAAACACACTCAATTTGGTTAACCTGTGTCGCTGCTCAGGAGGGGGAGATCACCTGACTGGGTTACCTGTCTCATGTTTCCCCTCCTGCTGCCGCTTGAGAGGATGGCCACCAAGGTGGGCCAAGGGCTGACTTTTCTCACTCTGCATGGCGTCAAAGAATCCCGCTTCATAACCCATGCTTTGAGACTTGTTTAGCAACTAACCATTTAAACCAGAATTTCTGATTTGCACGCATTGCGGAGAATATTTAACTCTGAAAGGATTCTCAGCAGACGTCTTTCTCCTGGCCGCACAGGATGCAGGAGGGTGTGAGCCTGGTGCTGCTTTGCTGAGGCTGATTCATACAGTGCCAAGCCACAGTTGGAAGGCAAAGCAACTCACGAAACCATTGGCAGGGGTGCTTGCATCGATTCGGGCTATTTAATCTTACATCCTGCCATTCAGAGTTTATGTCTGCAATTCCGTCTATTTCCTACTTGCGTACAAATTACAACATGATTGTTAAGGACAGTAAGACTTCAGCTCCGCTCCTGACAGTCAAGACTGGATCCCTGACACCTCTCCTACACGCAAAATTTCCAGCCAAATTCTGGATTTCTGGATGCCCCTGCATGCCTGATGCTGCTTCTAATTCATCCAAGAGACAAGCTGAGCAACATACCTATTGTTGGACAGGAGAGGGGGAAAGGGGGAAAACAGTCCAAGCAGTGGCCAGTTAGGAAATCCTTGTAACTTGTGCAAGGGAAAGCCATCATGGGACAGGGGTCAGTCAAGGCGCTGGTGTAGAACTGCACCGATCTCATATGGTCGCAGATCAGGTAGTTATAGCCTGGAGAAGAGGAAAACAGCATATAGAATGAGGCAAGGACTCCTGATTATCAACTCAGCGGGTGGAACAGCATTTCTCACCTTTGGCAAAGACTGTGCATCCAGAAGCCCTGGGTTGCCATACGTCTGGGAAAACCCAGACATGTCCTCTTTTCGGGGGCCAACACACCCATCAGGGTGGATTTTTACATTTTAAAGGAAATGTCTGGGTTTTTTTCAGATTTTGGGGGGCTTGGAATCCACCCAGAGTAGAATTGTTGTTGTTGTTACAACAGAAAGTGTAAAAAATATTTATAGGAATCTGATCTCAATGTAAACATCACCATAAATACATGGAGCACCATATGGGGTAAAATATATTTTAAGGCTCTATCAGCCCATATTATTTTACCACTTAGTTACGTTTCTCTAAATAAGTATCAGAGAAAATTCAATAAAACTAGTGTACATATAACACACCAGTTAAGCTATGAAACTCAATCCCACATGTGGTGGAGAGTCTCTACAACAATTAACTTTAACGACCTTTGGCTTTTTAGAGATTTAAGAGGTTCCCGTATTTCTCTTTCTGCTTAGTTTCAATGTATCAATGTGGGGTTTATTATCTATTTGTTTGCCCTGGACAACAAGATAAAGTGACCGACAAATTTAATAGAAATAATAAATTGAGGAACTTGCTACCATGGGTTGCATTCATTGCTAAATGAATGTGGACATCAGTGCAAAGATTTCTGCCCTTGTGCATCCTGCTGCCTGAGGCAGCCACCTCACCTTGCCTTGTGGGTGGGCCGGCCCAGCTGGCAATCTGCTACTACTTTGACAGCACTCACTGGAATGAGAGATAGGGGCAGAAGCAGGACTTGAATAGAGGGACCTCCTGATATAGTCTACCTCCATTTCATTGAAAACTTGCAATGATAAATGGTTAGGAGTGATGAATGGCAATGAAAATCAGCTTCTATTAGTAAGCTTACCAGATGATATAAAACGGGGACATCCAGGCTGATCTCTGCCGCCATTGACATAGTAATCAATGTGGCCAACAGGTATCCGGATACCAAAATCTGAAAGAAGACCTGAGTTAGGATTGCACTTCTATCTTGCATTCAAAATATTCCATCTGGATATTCAGGGCAAAGTCCCAGTTAGAAGGGTTGACCACAAATGGAAAATCCATTAACCTAATTCACAAAACCTTTGTGTGTGTGTGTGTGTGTACATGTGCGTACACACACACACACACACATATATATGGGAGAGGAAGTGAAGGAGGGAGAGATCTTATCATAAGAAAACTTTATCCTATTTCCACACTTGGCCACACAAACAAAACAAAGGCAGAAGTGATGATAGTGACCAACCCACAAATGCTACCATCCTTACAATGGTGGGTTTTAAACAGAAATTGCTACAAATACTGATAAATAAAAGTAAAGGACCCCTGGACGGTTAAGTCCAGTCAAACTTGACTATGTGGTGCAGCACTCATCTCGCTTCAGGCCGAGGGAGCTGGCGTTGGTCCGCAGACAGCTTTCCGGGTCATGTATGTGGCCAGCAGGACTAAACCACTTCTGGTGCAATGGAATACCATGACGGAAACCAGAGCGCATGGAAACACCATGCTAATACTAATAGACTAATCACTAATAGATTAGTATAGCCTTCATCAACCCGGTGGTCTACCAGATGTTTTGAATTTCAAGTGCCATTGGTCCCGGGTAGTAATTGCTAGAATTACTAATGGCTTGATTTATATGGTAGGGGGAAAATGTGGTGCAAATCTATAAAATAGACTTTTTATTGCAATTTGTAGACTTTAGTAATGTTAATATAAATGCTAAATATAACAAAGGGAAAGTATTAGCACCCAGAAATTAATAACATACACTAACAAAGCACTAACAATAACAGTGAACCAGCAGTTGTTTATAACTATTCTTAACTGATCATTTTATTGTTTTAACCTTTTTGCAAAGTGCTCTGAGGTATTATTGCACCCACGTTGTATGTTGATCTTGTGAAATAATAATAATAATAATAATAATAATAATAATAATAATAACTTAAATACAGTAGTGCAATTCACTGTTGTGTGCCAGCCAGAATGGGAGAAAGACTACTCGTATAGGGAAAAAGGCACTGTTATATGTACCCCAATCTCTGAGTGGTGGGAGACTTCAGGGGTGTGAGAGCATATCGTGGGTTTGATTTCACTGGGATGCAGGTCACTGGTTTCTTTATGATATATGGCTTTAATTACACACACATATAAGCTGGAGGGTTTCACAGCATTAACACTCCAGCCAATCTTATTTCCCAGTTAGCTTTCTTTGTACTCAGCGCAGAGAACAAATCTAGTCTCTCTGTGGCTTCCCAGCTCCAGGTGAGACTAGATAAAGGCCAGCCCTTGCTCTCCTACCTATAAGAGGACATGTTCTCCAGACAGGCAAGCAGGTGGAGGAACGACCTGCCCTCTCCTTCTCAAAGCATCACTAGCTTCTAGGGCAAGACACTTGTACTTGAACAACATTTTAGACAGGTAAAAAGGACTTAGCTGGGGGCATTAACTGGTTCGACCACTTCAGCAGTTCCTTCTCCTACAGACTACCATCTTACAGATATAAAATCATAGGCTTTGAAGGAACCTAGAGGGATCTCCATCTCTCCCCTTCGCTTATTTTATATTATAAGCTCCTTGAGAACAGGGGTTTGCCTACATTTGCCTGTGGAACTCTGTAAGGCACAACATATACAGTCGTACCTTGGAAGTCGAACGGAATCCGTTCCGGAAGTCCGTTCGACTTCCCAAACGTTCGGAAACCAAGGTGCAGCTTCTGATTGGAACTTCCTGCAGCCAATCAGAAGCCGCATCAGATGTTCAAGTTCCAAAGAACGTTTGCAAACTGGAACACTCACTTCCAGGTTTACGGAGTTTGGGAGCCAAAACATTAAACTCGCAATGCATTCGGGAGCCAAGGTACGACTGTACTGATGGCAGTCAAAAAAAGGGAGCAGACAAATTATCTTCTATCTTCTCCTGGCCAGGAATATAGAGTGGTAGGGACAACATTCACAAAGTGGCCACCTTGATTAGAGAGCTTGGACCTCCTGCACGTTCACCACTGCAGGAAGCAGGGTGTTTTGGTTGGTATCTTCATGAAACTCGGCTCCAGCTCCCCACACTGCAGAAGGAGGGGCAAACAAAGGGCTTGGGAAGCCTCATGGGCTTGGCCAGTGCAAGCAACGTACTGTCTGCATCTGTGTGAATGGCTTCCACAAAGACAGCATCTCCCGGATCTAGGCGCTCTTCGCGGCTGGCCTTGGTATACTTGGGGCCTGCAGGATCCAGACCTGGAATATGGATGAAAAACAGAGTACTACTATGCTCTGGGAAGTCTGTGGCTGGGGCTGGATTCTAGACACACCAAAGAGGCGATTCAGTTCGACGCGTGGTAAACTCATACAGGGAAATCTAGTAGGGAACGATGGGACTCCACAGCGCCATCTAGTGTCACAGTGTTATATTGCACATACAACGCATATAAAACACTTTTTCTTTACCAATCTGGTCCTTGATCTCTCAACTACAGTGGTACCTCGGGTTAAGTACTTAATTCGTTCCGGAGGTCCGTTCTGAACCTGAAACTGTTCTTAACCTGAAGCACCACTTTAGCTAATGGGACTGCCACGATCTCTCCACTTCCTCCTGACCTCCCTTCCAGATACGCCTGCCCACTCCCTACCCTGCTTTCAGCCAGTCAATATGTCTAGCTCCACCTTATATGGGTGGGGGTACAGATTGTGATGACTCCGTGATGCAGGGACGGGCGGAGAGATTCTGCAAACTCTCAGAGGTCTTTGCTACAAAGTCCCCCACCTTTGGAAACTTTCTGGCTGAAATATACTCAGAGTCGAGAGTGGATTTCATGCTCTTTATTCAGCTCATAGTGGTGAGGAGGAAGTCCCCTCAAAGTATCTGCTTTATATACATTATTTACACAATGGGAGCACGTGATTGGCTAATTCCGGAATTCTCCTGTAGGCCAATCAGGTTGTGGATTCACTTCCATCTTGGAGCTGGATTGGGTGGCTCTTGTGGACCAATCAGACTGCTGCATTGTTCTAGGACCAATCAGACTGCTGCATTCTGAATCCTATTGTTCTAGGACCAATCAGACTGCTGCATTTTGGATCCTATTCAACTCAGTACATAACACTGGCCCTGTCTGCTACCGCAGACAGTAGCCTGGACGCCCTCGGTAGCTTCCCACCCCATGCAAGAGGCCTCGCTCTAGGCTCATGGCTGATCACTAGATGAGAGCAGAGGGCAACCCTGGAGCCCTGAGGTTTCAGTGGTTGGGTCAGAAGAGCCAAAAGATGCCCCCATCTTGGCCAAACCTGAATAATAGGCTGCGAGAGGAACAGGAGCAATGGCGCCCCCTCAGCCCGGCCTCCATTTTGCTTGCCTCCCGCTGGGCCACCTTCCAGGAGCCACCACATAATTTTGCTGCCCTCCTAAAATGCTCCCTGAGGAGTGTGCCCCCTTTTACGTCCCCCTCCAGACGTGGCCCTGGTGAGAGAAATTATAAATATAGCGACTAGAGAGCCCTGGGTGAAATATGCCCAGAGTCAGGTTTCCGCTAGCACCCTGGGTTCAGCAACTCTGGCGTTCAAAGGAGGAAAAGGTTTTGATGTTGTGCAAAGTGTGCAATTGCAGTTCCTTCCTCTGCAGGAAGATCTACTGCAAGAAAGACAAAAGCAGACCAGAAAATGTCTCAGGAGAGGTGCACTGATGCGCCTTCCAAATATGTAAAGGTTTGGGGTGGGTGTAAATCTCTCTTTGCCTCATCTCGCCCCTCAGAACACCCCTTTGGGGGGACTTAAACAGGCATACATATACCGGCTTTAAGTTCTATGGACTGAGCCCCAGCTCAGCAGGTCTCTAGCTCAGCCAAAATGCCCTTGCAGCAGTTTAGCCCAAGAGCCAGACTCTCTTATGGATCCTGGATTTTTTGGCTTGTGCTATAATCCTCAACATTTTGTAGTGGCTATTAAACATCTGTGGGCATCCTACATTTTTCTCACCATCAACTTTTTTTTTTAATACACTGTGCCAAATAGTTTAGCTATTCCAATTCTATAAATATTGAACTAAAGAGGCATCAATATCTTTTCCAGCCCTTCATTTTGTGAATGTGTGTGTGTAATTTTTATTAATTTTTCTGTTTTACAATTTAAAATACTTGTTTTACATCCTTAAGATATCAATGACTTTCCTTCTTCTCTTTCCATGGTTCATTTTACATATCATAAGTCCCTGCATATTTTACAAAAACTATACCATTCAGTATTCCATTATTACATCCATCAAAACTGTTGAATTTATCTTAATTCTGCCAGCGTTTTTAGCTGTATACAATTATTTCCCATATATTCAATAAACGTTTTCCAATCTTCTTTCAACACGTTCTTCTTGTTCTCTTATTCTATATGTTAAGTCTGTGAGTTGTGCATAATCTGTCAACTTAAGCTGTCATTCTTCTTTAGTTGGGACCTTGCTCATTTTCTGTTTTTGGGCTAACCAAACATGGGCTACAGTGGGAACATACATAAATAATCTCAAAAAAGGTTTAAGAGGTTATCCAGCCCTTGATTTTAGATTGTGGATATGTCAAACTAGTCAAACCAGTAGGATTGCTAGAAATCACCTCGACAGGTGTAATGGCCTGGCAAAGTGGCCAAGAATCCTTCATTTCAGATTTTTTTTTTCATAGGCTAATATAGACATTTTTCCTTTTTATTCTCCTTACCAGTAATCCTTCCCAGTCGGCCTTCAAAGAAATGGCCTACCAAACCCCCGGCATGGGCTCCAAGGCTCACCCCAATAAGGTGGATGGATTTCTCAGGCACCCCCAAGTCCTGAAATGTTAGGATGAACAGGATTAATTGACGCCATTTCATCATTTTTCTTCCCTAAAGCCCTCCAGAAGTTCCGGTAGATCTCATCACTGCTGCCTTTCCCTTTTTCTTGCAAGCCTTTTGTTTTAATGGTCACTAGCAACAGCTCCCCACATGTACAGCACATAGAAAAGCATCAGAACAGGGGCTGGTTAGAAAGCAAATCTATCAGTGGCATAGCATGTGTTGCTGGCACCCCGGACAAGGCAAGGATTGCTCCCCCTAACCTCCTGGCAGGCGTTGTGCAGGAGGCAATAAGGGAACTTCTGCGGTGGCTGCTCCTCATAGAGGTGGCTTGCCAGTTACTACGTTCACCCGCTCAGCGAGCTCCTGCTGGGAGCATCAGCTGGTGTTCTTGGGCAGGCTTGGTGGCGTCCCAGCTGCACCAGAGCCGCAGTTGCAGCAGGCCTAGGAGGAGGGTGGTGGAGAGCTGGCCGAGGCACCAAGCACAGCCTTCCCTGGCCATCTCTCCCTGGCCGCACAGCACGAGGACAGGTGCCAGCCGATCCCAGCTGAGTGGGCAGCTCTCCTCTCTGTGCTCCCGCCACGGGGTGCATGCTTTTCTGGCCAGCAGCAGTTCTGCCCGGGGCCATGAGGAGGAGTCACCGTTGCAGCCCTCAAGATCCAGCCCGCGCGTGACTTGCCTCCCCGCGGCTCTGGAAGGCAGCAGCCACACGAGGGAGCCTGTTGTGGGGGTGCTGGGTTGTGCCACGGCCCCCCTTGCCCCACCATGCTATCCACTGGAGGCTATAGAATGAAAAGTTGAAGAGGAAGAAAGGAAGAGGAAGGAAGAGAGGAATTGGCACACTGAGAGAGAGGAAAAGGAGAAATCCCCTAGGGCTTCTGTTGAGCTTTCTAGCCTCTCTGCTACACACACACACACACACACACACACACACACACAGTCCTCCCCTTTCCTTCCTACCAAGTCTCCAGCTGAACCCAGAAGTCTCTCATCCCTCCTCTGTAGGAAAAGGATCAGTTTTGGGCTTTAAAGAAAGTTAGAAAGAGAGAATAAAAGGGTCAATATTTTTAAAAGTCATAACAATTAACCAGGAACAGAGAGGAAGGGGATAAGTGGGGAAGCTGTTACAGGAGGAAGAAATGAATATGAAAGGAGTATGGAGCAGAGATGGAAACTGGCAGTTTGCAGGTGGGAATAGGACACAAATTTAGTATTAGAGGAGAAGAATTGACAGGAGATGAGTAAAATGTTTGTGGGGGTTTTTTGAGAAGCATGGAGGGGGAGGGAAAATATAAAATAAGATCTTTTCAGAACTTAGAGCCTCTGGATCTGCAGATTCTTTCTATAATGGGGAGTCTGGACAATGTCTTTACCCAGCTTGGGGAATGCTGAAGAGTGGAACACCCTTTCAGGGAGGGATTAGATATATAGAGAAAATTATGTCCGTAATTGCCAGTTGATTATGCTCCTCTCCACCACCATTTTGTAGCTGGTTGGCCCATTTTCGTGAAACACCCAAACTCAGAAATCCATTTCCACCTACCAGCAACTTGCGAATAAAACTGGCTATTTCTAGTGCCAACTTCATCACATTTTCCACTGCGGCGTAATAGGCTGCTGTGCTGCCATGGACCCAGTCGACAGCAATCACGTTGGCTTGGGCTGCCTGCAGCAAGGCCTTGATCAGCCCGTCTGTCCAGGAGGGCTTTGTGCCCAGGACTCTGAGAAGACAGAAGCAAGGGAAGAAGGCAGGAGCTCATGCAATGCTGACTTTTGCACTGGGGGGGCTGGAGCACTGCACCCCCCCAAATCGGGAGAAGCCTGAATTCCAGCAGATAACTGTGTTTCGTTTTGCATAGTGTTTGAGGAAGTACAAATTAGGGAGTTTCACATGCTATTAAAGTGTGAACCGAACCAAACTCTTCCTGCAACCCTAGTTGCTGCACATGCTTCTTGAACATGCAGCCAGCAGAATACAATGGGTGAGCACATTGGCCAGAAGGTAGCTCCATGCTTGTAACATGCAAGGGGGTTCATCTGAAAACCCCGACTGCTAGGTTTTCGATGGCTGGTCTTGTGTTTTTTCCTTAGTAATGATTCTTCCCCACCACAATCTATTTTTCTTACATTCATCTTCACCTTGGGCCATCGAAAGTCCCCACACAAATGGAAAAGCTGTAAACAAGGAAAATGGCTGCCACTTAATTTAACTTTAGCTTGATCATCCATTTTTTTATGTTTGTACCTGAAACCATGGATTATTACTTTGGTTCCCAAGGTGGCATTGAAAGTGGAGTTCTGCAGGTCCTCCCGTGTGGAGAGCAGCTGTCCACAGCTGGGGTTGGAAGAGGAGAACAGGAGAAACTGAACTTTGAGACTGCTGCCGCGCAGCAAGCTTGCAGACTGGAAATCGGTGCACACTTGGCTTCTTGTAATATTTTCAGACCCTGAAATGAGATGTAAGCAAAGTATGCACAGCCGGCTGTTATGTAACAAAAGCACTAAATAAAACTTGCGTGGTATTATTAAATGGTGCTTCAAAACCAAGGATCCGTTTCCAGTTTGCATAGCTTCTCTGAAGCTTCCCACATCCCATCTCTTTAACTATGCACAAGAAAAGTTGTTGAAAGTCTTAGAGACAACTTTGGAGAAATCGTTGTTGTCTGGACTCTTCTGGGAACAGTGAAGATTTCAGCCTGGATTCTGATCTTATTTGGCCAACACTGGGGTGGCTGGAGGACTCTTATAGACAATTTATGCTGTGAAACCTTCAGGCTGTCCCTCCAATGCTACTCTCTCCTCAAGGATGCAATAATATGTCAGGGGATCAAACAGGCCCCCCACCCCACCCCAAAATCACCACCTCAATATTCCATGGCTCAGCTTCCCTCCGCACAGGTACGAAAAGCTACTGCATGCAAGACCCTGGTGGGGTGTTTTGAATAAATCTTATTTTTAATCAATCTTATTTTTTTCTTTCAAACTGAGAGGTGCAAGGGCCACCCAGGTTTGGTTTTAGATGATGATGATCTACTGTTAGTATAAGATAACAGAATCTGACAAAAGAAATAATATTAATCTTCCTCTGTATTTTCACCTTTCCCCCACCCATTTCTTCAAAAGTAAAGAATCCATCTCCTTTTCAAACTCTGTTTGCCCAACTGCACAAAGCTTAGTTCCCAGAGCACATATTTTCCCATTGCACAAAATGTTTCTGGCCAGGCAGCAGAACAGATCCTGAGGGGGCCAGGTTGCCTCCCTTTCCTGCAGCCTGTCTCCTTTAACCTGCGCTACTTGGGCCTGCAAAAAAAGAGGAGCACTGAGCATATGGTTGAGAGCTCAGCTTGAGAGATCACCAGCTGTGCACACCTCCTTTATCTCAACCCACCTGCATGTTCTGCATGTGTTAGTTTGCATTACTGTTTGCTGATCAAAGGCACCATGGTCAGAGGCATCCTGGCTCTCTCCACCTCTGCCATTCAAACTCCTGCCAGTATCGTCCTTACCTGCACCAACAAAGATGAAAAGCAGTCGTACCATGATCGTTAAGAGAGGACATCTCCTTGGGTCAGTAACCATCTTCCCTGTTGGGTCCTTCCTGGCTGTAGTAGATGAACAGGTGTGTGAACTAAAGCCCAGCAGATCGGTTTGGGGTCTTGGTTAATGGTCAACAGGCACTGAGGCTTGGGACACCAGCAGCTCCTTTCCCCTTTGCAGCAATCGGTTGAATCCAGGCGTCAGCTCAGTAGGAGGGGTTCCCAGTGCTGTTTTCTATGCATTTCAATGACCCCTCTGTTCAGACCGCTGGACAAACACTGGTGAATCAAAGCCACACAACCATCTGGCAGAGAGTCAAAGCCCTGTTTACTAACTCTGTTTCAAAAGATAGGGATGGAATGAAGCGGTTGATTGGCGGCCTCAGATCAATGGCAAGAGGCTGTGCAGAAGACGCTGCAAACAAGACAGGAGAAAGTCTATCTCCAAGGGCACTTTGTGCCCAATGAATTAGTTTCTCAAGCTGCTGCAACAACTGCCCAATTTAGGCAAAGGATTGATTGCCCTGAAGGTACACCACCAGAATTTGCCCTGCTAGGATTGTGTTGGGCAATTAGGATTGCCTGGAATGTGTGAAGGACTGCACCTGAGGAAATATTAATTTTTTGAACCTTTGATAGCTCTCTTGTCTGTCCCCTCGTGTCTGCCTGTGTTATTTATTGGTGGATGGGGATAAATAAAACTAGGTATCACAGGAGCCAGCTCCGAGGGGCCGTGGGGGCTTTGGCCCCATCAATGAAATATTTGAGGGGGCCGGGCCCCCACAAAGATGATGTGCATTCCCATTCAAATGGTGTGTGTGTACTGCGCCATGTGATCAGTTATGTGGGGACTCCCACAATAATTTATCCAAGTTGGCACCCCTGCTAGGTAGAAGGAGTTTTAGTTTGCCTTAGCAGCTCAAAATGTCATTGCACAACAAGGCGTTCTGTGTATTGGGGACCGCCTTATGTCAAGATGCACTTCTATACTACTGGACTACTGCAATGCACTCTACGTGGGGCTACCTTTGAAGGTGACCAGGAAACTGCAATTAATCCAGAATGTGGCAGCTAGACTGGTGACTGGGAACGGCCACCGAGACCACATAACACCGGTTCTGAGAGATCTGCATTGGCTCCCAGTACGTTTCCAAGCACAATTCAAAGTGTTGGTGCTGACCTTGAAAGCCCTAAACGGCCTCGGCCCAGTATACCTGAAGGAGCGTCTCCACCTCCATCATTCTGCCCAGACACTGAGATCCAGCTCCGAGGGCCTTCTGTCGCTTCCCTCCCTGCGAGAAGCCAAGTTACAGGGAAGCAGGCAGAGGGCCTTTTCGGTAGTGGCACCCGCCCTGTGGAACGCCCTCCCACCAGATGTCAAAGAGTTAAACAACTACCTGACATTCAGAAGATATCTGAAGGCAGCCCTGTTCAGGGAAGTTTTTAACATTTAACGCTGTACTGTTTTTAACACTTGTTTGGGAGCCGCCCAGAGTGGCTGGGGAAACTCAGCCAGATGGGCGGGGTATAAATAATAATATACTATTATTTATTATTATTATTATTATTATTATTATTATTATTATTATTATTATTATTACTACTACTACTACTATACTGTTTGCATTTTTTGTGTTTTTGTGCTGACCAATGGTTTCTAACAAACAAACTGGGCTAGCTGCTGACTCCCTGTACTGCTCTGCTCTCTCTCATTCTCTCCATGCCATCCTTCCTTTCAGTTTTCGGGTGCGCTGGTCTCAGAGCAGGCTGGCAGGGGAAGAGGGAAAACCCAGCTGGGGGAGGGAGTTGCAAGAAGCATCAATAACTGGAGAAAGAGTGAAGCCCCCATGCTGCCAGGGGCCACAGATCCTGCCAGCTCCACTGTTCTATGATTCTATGCCCAGCATGCACATGCTTAACAACCTCCCCTGCCGACAGCATGTCTGGTGGCTGTTTGGAGGGACGCCATGAGCATACTGGCGCATGGGCCTAGGGCTCATCCCTGCAAAGAGGAATCCTGGACCCGCCAGAATTTCTGTGTGTATCTGAAGAAGTGTGCATGCACACGAAAGCTCATACCAAGAACTAACTTAGTTGGTCTTTAAGGTGCTACTGGAAGGAATTTTTTTTGTTCAGAATTTCCCTGTTGTGGATTAGAGCATGGCAGTGCTTCATGTGCTTCAGTTTTCTTCGCCTCATCCTGTCGAGTCCTGGCCTTGACAGAAACCCATGAAATCATTATGCTCCATTAGTTTGCCAGCACTCCCATCGCCACCATTAAATCAGGGTGTTTCCCAGTATGGGGAGAATCTGCTAAGGGAAGTAAATCCAATCTAAAATCCCACGTCAACGGAGGCCCATTGTGCTTCCGTTTCTTTGAAGGCGTGTGGTGATGTTTCACAGGTGCCACCTAGCACCCCACACCCACCCGGCTCCCATTCACTCAAAGGGAAAGAGGCAGCATTCCCACAAAAAGCATTTCATCTGTTTAAAATACAGCTTTCTGGGGCAGAACTGCTGAAGTGCTGCGCCAAACAGTCGCGTCAAACACCATTTTCTTCGCGAATGTGAACAAGGGAGAGCAAGAAGGGGGGGGGGTGCCGGGATGGGATTTCCAATTACAGTGGTACCTGAGGTTACAGACGCTTCAGGTTACATATGCTTCAGGTTACAGACTCCGCTAACCCAGAAATAGTGTTTCAGGTTAAGAACTTGGCTTCAGGATGAGAACAGAAATTGTGTGGCAGCAGCAGGAAGCCCCCATTAGCTAAAGTGGTGCTCCAGGTTAAGAACAGTTTCAGGTTAAGTATGGACCTCCGGAACGAATTAAGTACTTAACCCGAGGTACCACTGTATTCAGTCTGCAAGATCCCAATACAGCGGTACCTTGGGTTAAGAACTTCATTCACTTTGGAGGTCCGTTCTTAAGCTGAAACTGTTCTTAACCTGAAGCACCACTTTAGCTAATGGGGCCTTCTACTGAGCACAATTTCTGTTCTCCTCCTGAAGCCAAGTTCTGAACCTGAAGCACTATTTCTGGGTTCGCCGAGTCTGCAACCTGAGGCGCCTGTAACCCGAGGGGCCACTTTACCAAGGAGGGTCCTCCCTTCCCTCTGGCTGGGAGATGGGAATAAGATCTGAATGGCGGCGCCCCTCTTTTATTGGGGGTCCAAGGGCGCCTCCTGAGGCGGCCAGTTCCCCAGGCCGGCGCCAGGAACCCCGCCTCCTCCTCTCCGGCCCGAGGCTTCCCCGGAGGCCGCGGCCAGGGCGCTTCCCGTCCGGCTGGCGGCCATGGCGGGTCCGCGGGGCGGGAGGGCGCTGGCCTTGCTGCTGCTGCTGCTGCTTCGGGCCAGAGGCCCCCTCGGCTGCTCCGCCGCCGCCCCGCCGTCGGGTAAGCGGCTCCTCCGCCCTCTCCGCGGGGAGAGCCAGCGGCAGCTCTCGAGTCGAGCCGGGCTGGGCCTGGGGGGTCTCCCTCGGCCACGGCAAGGCCCGCCGCTGCTTAGCGAGAGCGGGGAGCAAAGGCCGGACCCCAATCGCCCTTGGCTCCCACCCAGCGCTGGTCCGAGCGAGGGCTCCCTCTGGAGGGGCTTCCTCGGAAGGAGCGGCTTCCCGGCCGGGGCTCCTCCCGGATCCTGGCTCCGAGGCCCCCCTGCGCCCCGATCTGTGCTCTGGGGAACAAGAGGGAAAGGACCCCCGACAGCTAAGTCCCCTTGCAGGCGACTCTGGGGTCCCCACACTCATCTGGCTTTCCTGGCCAAGGGAACCAGTGCTTGTCCGCTTCCGCAGACACTTTTTCCGGTCCATGTGGCCAGCAGGACGGAGCCACTTCTGGCGAAACCAGAAACGCCATTTGCCTCCCCACCAGAGCAGTATCTCTTTATCTAAAGGTGAAGGTACCCCTGCCGTACGGGCCAGTCGTGTCCGACTCTGGGGTTGTGCGCCCATCTCACTCTAGAGGCCGGGAGCCAGCGCTGTCCGGAGACACTTCCGGGTCACGTGGCCAGCGTGACAACGCTGCATCTGGCGAGCCAGCGCAGCACACGGAAACGCCGTTTACCTTCCCGCTAGAAAGCAGTACAGTGGTGCCCCGCAAGACAAATGCCTCGCAAGACGGAAAACCCGCTAGACGAAAGGGTTTTCCGCTTTGGAGGTGCTTCGCAAGACAATTTTCCCTATGGGCTTGCTTCGCAAGACGAAACGTCTTGCTAGTCTTGCGATTTCCCCCCCCCCCCGCTTTTTTCCAGCCTTTTAACAGCTTAGCCGCTAATCCTTTAATAGCCGCTAAACCACTAATAGCGCTAATCCGCTTAGCCGCTAATGGGGTTGCTTCACAAGACGAAAAAAACCGCTAGACGAAGAGAATCGCGGAACGGATTCTTTTCATCTTGCGAGGCACCACTGTACCTATTTATCTACTTGCACTTAAGGGTGCTTTCGAACTGCTAGGTGGGCAGGAGCAGGGACCGAGCAACGGGAGCTCACCCCGTCTGCGGGGATTCGAACCGCCGACCATACGATCGGCAAGTCCTAGGCTCTGTGGTTTTACTCACAGCACCACCCGCGTCCCTATCTATTTATCTACTTGCACTTTTTGGCATGCTTTTGAATGCTCGGTTGGCGGGAGTTGGGACTGAGCAACTGGAGCTCACCCTGTGGTGGGGATTCGAACCACTGATCTTCTGACTGGCAAGCACGAGACATAGCTGTCAACTTTCAGATTTGAAAATAAGGGATCAGCAGCCTCACCTGTCCCGGGGACAGTCTACGGGATATCTAACAATCCGGGTTAGCAGCAGGAAGCAGCACTGGAATAAGGGAATTTCCTGCAAAAAAAGGGAAGGTTGACAGCTGTGGCTCGAGTGGGTGAGTGGTTTAGACCACAGTGCCACCTGTGTCCCTACCTTATGCTCTGGTTAGATTACTGCAATGCCATCTATGAAGGGCTGCCTCTGAAGACAGTTGGGAAACTTCAGCTAGTGCAGAATTCAGCAGCCAGGTTGCTCCCCGGATCGGTTTGAGCATCTTACACTGGTCCTGGTCCGACTGCACTGGTTGCTAATTAGTTTCTGGGCCCAGCGCAGTCCGCAATACCTCCAGGACCGCCTCTTTCCGTATGAACCTACCCAGACCCTGAGAGCATCTTCTTTGGGTGCCTCCTCCTCGAGAGGTCTAGAGAGTGGTAACACGAGAACAGGCCTTCTCTTATCTGGATTGAGCTTCAGTTTTTTGGCTCTCATCCAGTCCATTACGGAGGCAAGGCACTGGTCCAGCACTTCCACTGCCTCGCCTGCAGATGTCAAGGAGAAAGAGAGCTGAGTCTCATCCCTTTACTTCCTCTCTGCAGGAGAGCTACGCTCACCTCTTTTAATCTGCCGTGTTGACAATAACAGCATCCAGGTGTTCTGCATGCCAGGCTTCCAGCATCCACCTGTGACCTACCACTGGGAATTAAAAAATACATTTATTTCTGACCAGCCTGTGGTCAGCATTAAGGGAAGCCTAAACCTTTCTGAGCAAATCACATGTACCATAACCACCGCCACTTCAAATGCCAGCACATCCATCAGTGTGCAAAAGTGTTACCTGTCAGGTAAGTGTTTCTCCCGTTGGCCTTTATCATGGTTTGCTTGTTTCCCACCATTTTCCTTCAGGGTGCATAAGGTGGCACACCAGGCTGCGTCAAGCTGGTATAAGAGGCCCAGGCTAGATGTACCATGTAGGGCCCATCTCATTCATCTTTACCAAAGGTCCCCCTTTGCCACTGCCATGGGGACTTGGAGTTGGCCATCCTCAAAATCGTAGGCCCATGATTCTTGCCCTCCACATGTAATTCCCACAACAAACCTGAGAGGTAGAATGGGCTGAGAGGCCACGACTGGTCCCAGGTCAGGGCTGGGTGGGGATTTGAATCTGGGTCTCCCAGGTCCTAGTCTGACACTGCTGCACAACACTGGCTCTTTATGGAACTTGTAAACTTCCCTTCATTACTTAGTGAATACAGGTTGTTATTCAGCAAGATATGTAAAGATACACTACACACACACACACACACACACACACACCACCACCACCACAGGGA